CTTCTGCAAAGAGGGTCCTGCCTGTTGAGTTCCTTGCCATATCCCAAGCCCCTAATAGTGCCTGACACCAGGGCCCACACAAAAGTCTGGGTCTGAGTAAGAATTCCTAACTGGTGGGATGCCCGCAGCAGTAATTCAATTATATGAGCAAGCACCACACCCTGCTGTGCCACCCACTGCTGAACCCTGTGTGAGGTCAGAGCGGCAATGTCACCTAGCAGAACACAGCTGAGGCCACACAGCTTGGTCCATGGAGGTGCTCAGTAAGGGATGAGTCCTCTTCTCTGTCCCTGTGGGGACCCCAGCAAACAGCAGGATAAGCAGAGACATTTGTCCCAGAGCTCTCTGCGTCCAACCCCATTCCTTTCCCCCATCGGAAGTCTGCTCTGTCCCCTGAGGTCCCCTGCACCTTAGCCTACAGGAAATGTGTGGATGACACACGAGGAGATGGAGTCCCTGACGGCCGCAACCAAGCCCGTGAGTGACCCCTATGGGCAGCCGTGGGAATGGCACTAACCCTCCTGGGGGCGGGGGCGGGGGCGGGGGCGGGGGCAGGGACCGAGTCTGGCCTTCAGTCTGTCTGTCCCTTCTGTCCTCCTCTGCCTGCCCCTTAACCCACCCCCTTCTCTCCCCTCTTCCCACTAACGGGTCAGGAGACCAAGGAGATCAGCTGGGAGCAGGTAGGGGCGCGGGGCGCATGAACAGGTTGTGCACGCTGCATGTTCGCCCCTCCCCCTGAGCCCCGCCCCCCAACTCCGGTAGTCCCGCAGGGCAGGGGCGCAGCGCCCCAGCTCAGCTCTGGAAAGGTTCATTGTGTCATGGTGGGGGGAATGGAGGCCAGCCTGTTCTGGCCACACCATTGCAGGGGTGCGACGGGTTCCAGGGGCTGTTCCTTTCCTGTGACTGGAGGGCTTTGCTAGTTGCCTGCTTTCTCCAGGTTGAGGGGAAGGAGGCTTGCTGCGAGGTTCCAGTGTCACCTGGGCCCAGGGAGAGAACTGGTTCTGTTGGTGGTGAGACAGACCAGGCAGGATTAAAAGTGGACAGAGGAACTACACTGTGCTCCTAAGAGAGCCATGACCCTGCTGTGGCCGAGGAGCCAAGTTGGGCCGTGGTCTTGGTTTCCAGCCAGGGCAAGTGTGGATTATGCTAAGCGCTTCGGACTGATCCAGAACTTGGTCCAGGGGCAGGTGCAGTCTTAGATGAATATCTTCAAGATACTGTGGGAATGGCAGCATTCTGTTTTGGGGAGTCACCCTGCAAGAATCCATTCACCTGCCTTGAGAGAGTAGTGATATCAGACTGAGTTGGGACACAGTTGGACCAATGTTTCTCAAAACTGAATGCATAGTTCAAGTCCCTGGAGATCTTATAAAAATGTACATGCTGACTTCAGAAGGCCAGGTGTGGGTCTGGGTTCTACCAGTTACATGCATGAATAGTGATGCTGAGGGTCCCTGGACCGTTCTGTCACTGTGAAGATGTAGAAGACAACTTTGGATTGGTCCAAATTGTCAAAGCAGGGATTGATCACTGTCCTTTGCACAATTGTGCAAAGCAGGCATTGGGAGGGGAAGGATGACCTTGGGTTGGGGGCTGGACTGTACCCCTTTCCTACACACATGGGAAGGGCCCAGAGAGGCTGACCTCCTCTACCCCTCCATGGTCCCAGATCCTGGCATACGGTGACATGAACCACGAATGGGTGGGAAACGATTGGCTGCCCAGCCTAGGGCTGCCCCAGTACCGCAGCTATTTCATGGAGTCACTGGTGGATGCCCGAATGTTAGATCACCTTAACAAGAAGGAGCTCCGGGGCCAGCTCAAGATGGTGGACAGCTTCCACAGGTGGGGCTGCCTGGCCGAAGGGGATGGGGAGGGGGTGAGGCCCTCCCCCCTCCCGCAGAGAGTCTATGGTCGGTGGGATTAGTGATGGGAAATCCCTAAGATTATCTTTTTCTTTTTCTTTTTTTTTTTTTGTTTTGTATTTTTACCCGTACCAGGGATCGAACTCACGACCACACACTTGCAAAACAGGCGCTTATGCCACTGAGCTAAATCCCCAGCCCCTCCTAAGATTATCTTTGGGCCTTCAGTTTTGATGCACTATGCATCAAGAAGGTCCATGAGAGCAGCTCAGTCTTGGCTGGTTAACCCCACACCCAGGCGAGATTAGCTAATAGGAGCTACATGTTGAAAATGCCCTGCTTGGGGCTGGGGATTTAGCTCAGCGGCATAAGTGCCTGCCTTGCAAGCAGGCAGTCGCGAGTTCAATCCCTGGTACCAATAAAAAGGAAAAAGACAAAAAAAAAAAAAGAAAAAAAAAGAAATGCCCTGCTGATTTAGCTTCGTAGCCTGCTGATTTAGCTTCGTGGCAAAAGTGCCTGCCTGGCAAGCATGTCCTGAGTTAGGGTCCTGACACAAATAAACAAACAAACAAATAAAACAAGCCCCACGTCCTGGGAAGATCCTCAAGCAGTAAGGCTGATCACTGGAACTCTCTGGCCTTCTCAGGGTAGCACAGCCAACTGGGAGGGTTCATAGGAGGGGTTGCCCAGGATCCTTTATAATGCCTGTTCCCTTGCTGCTCAGGGTGAGTCTACATTATGGGATCATGTGCCTGAAACGGCTCAACTATGACCGGAAGGACCTGGAGCGGAGGCGGGAAGAAAGTCAGACCCAGATTCGAGGTGAGAAGGGGGTGGGCCAGGTGTAGGAGAGAGAGGAGGGATGGGTGGGAAAGAGAAGCCAGGGCAGAGAAAGGCCTGGGCACTGGGGCTGAGCGCGGCTGAGTGTCCTTTCCTCCGTTCCCAGACGTGATGGTGTGGTCCAATGAGCGAGTCATGGGTTGGGTGTCCGGGCTGGGCCTGAAGGAATTCGCCACAAACCTCACAGAAAGCGGGGTGCATGGGGCGCTGCTCGCCCTGGACGAGACCTTTGACTACTCCGATTTGGCCTTGCTGCTGCAGATTCCCACGCAAAACGCGCAGGTGAGTGGCTGCTGGGTCTGGAGCAGGCAGGCCCTCCAGCGCAGACTGCACGCTCCAATCTCTCTTCTACCTCCTTCTCTAGGCCCGGCAACTCCTAGAGAAGGAATTCAGCAACCTCATCTCCTTAGGCACTGACAGGCGGCTGGATGAGGTGGGCGCGGCAGAAGCTCTGCGCAGCACTTGCTGAATCCAAGCTCAGGGGGGTGGGGCTTGGCTTTGCTGACCTGTGCTGGAGGCCGGGACTGGGAGTGTAGGGGCGGGGCTAATAGAGGCTCCACCTAGAGAGGAGGAGGTGTCAAGGGAAGGGATGGAGGCACAGCGGACCTTCACCCTCTTTCCCGCTCCTCTACCTAGGACAGCGCCAAGTCCTTCAGTCGCTCCCCATCCTGGCGGAAGATGTTTCGGGAGAAGGACCTCCGAGGAGTAACCCCCGACTCGGCTGAGATGTTGCCCCCTAACTTTCGTTCGGCTGCAGCAGGAGCCCTGGGGTCGCCGGGGCTCCCTCTCCGAAAGCTGCAGCCGGAAGGTGAGTGGCGGGGTCGGGGTTCCCAAACGCGACAGCCCCGCCCCTTCTCCAGAGCAGAAAATGGACCAACTCTACCTTCCAGATAACCCTGCAAACACACCACTCCAACATTCCGGATTCTCCTTGCGGTGGATAAACCCCATACGCTAAGTGAATTCACCCAAAGCCACCTGGGACTCCTTGATTGAGTCCCAGGCAGCAGGGAAGCTAGGACGGAAACTCGATGTGGAGTTTGGGTATCAGGAGGCAAAGTCTAAGGGGACGGCGTTCCTGAGGTTGAGGACGAGCTCACAGGAACTTTGGTGGGGGGAACGGGTTTGGGCGGGGGCTCCCATGCTCATTTCCCCTCCAGGGCAGACTTCCGGGAGCTCCCGGGCAGACGGCGTTTCGGTCCGGACCTATTCCTGTTAGTGTCGACCTCCAGGTGAGGATGCGAGGACCGCGCTGGGGTGTCTGGGGCGCGAGGCGGCATAATGGGTCTTCACTGAGCTCTGTACGACCCCGTGTCGCCGCAGGTGACCTCACTCGGATGGAGGACCCGCCCAGAGCCCGGGCCCGCCCCCAGCGGTCCGGAGTCTAGTCTCGCGGGAGAGAGCTGGCCGGGAGCTCCAGCCGCAGACTGCACCATCTGTACAGACTGGGGGCGCGCGCGTCCCCGCCTTCCCAGTGGTCTGGACCTGGACTAAACCACGTGGACTGGACTGAGCGGGGGGGGGGGGACAGGAGAGGGAAGGGAGAAATCCCGCCCCAGACTTCCGCCTCCTTTTTCTTTACTTTGTAATTTATTGATCAGTTTCCGATGGGAAACGGGTGCCCTCCACCCGCGGAAAGGGGGTGGGGGTTCCCTTCCGGGCCGCATGCAGGGAAAGACTGCCCCCCCTTTCTTCTGCCCATTCGCGGGGCCCAAGTCTTCGTTCTTCGTCCGAAAGGAGAGAAGGGGGGGACTCGCTGCTACAAGCCTCGCCCCCTGTGCCACTCGGCCCTGCCCCGCCGAATCCAGTTGCCAGCCCCCGGGTTCATTTGCGGGCGGGGTCCCCTGTCCTTCCCCCGTGTCTCGTGTCCCCGGGGCCTCCCCGTCCCCCGTGCTGTGGCCATGTCCGTGCCCCAGGGACAAGGGGCACGCAGATGCGCGCCCCCGGGTCCCCTCCGGCTCCGGGGTTTGCATGGGAGAATCTTTCCACGATGCCACTGAGCGACGTGGCGTGGGAGGAGAGCGGACTGTGGGGGAATCCTCGTCCTCGGCTCTCGGTCGGCCTCAAGGCCCCAGGCGTCACTCAGTGATCACGGGTAAAGAGAACTGTTTCAAAAAGCTTTTGTGTGGATTGAGTTTCTTGGCTAGGGCCCTACAAAAGCAAAGCACCTCCTCCAGGACCCCAGAGCCCAGGCCCCTTAGGCCTCAGGCCAGCGCTTCACCCTGGGGCTATGAGTCAGGTTCCCAGCGCCTTTCCCATTCCCTGATGCCAGGAGAATCGGCCCCTGCCTGAAAGTGAGGTTTCGGGGAGCACGTTTATTCAGAGAAATAAATATGGCACTTGGTAAGGGGTCAGAAGACGGAGAGGGATATCCGCCGCAGTCAAGGGCCAGATCAGGGTTCCGGGGTCTCCAGCATATCTGCCAGGGCTCTGGAGAAGGGGAGGCAGAGGTTACATAGCCCAAGTGTCGCCCCAGAAGTCTTAGAGATGATGACTGTCCAGCCCCTTTCACGAACGAGGACTTGGAGGCCCAGGATCCTCCTCCCCCATAACTTAGAGTGGGACAGCGCTTCTCTAAACAAAGCTCTTGAAGCCCCCCCCCCCGCTCCACCCCGTACACACTTACTGATAAAGGGAGGAGGAGAAATAGTCGACGTAGCTTCCTGTAGGGGAGCAGAGAGAAAAGGTTTGAGAGGGATTCCACGAGCCACGTTGAAAGGACACCATAAGAGTGCAGGGATAGGGCTGGCCCCTCCCCCTCTTCTAATTCTGGCAAATCGGGACTCCTTTGAAGGTCGCGCCCCTGTCTGCTAAGCCCGGTCCAGCTCTCTACTGGCACCTTCCAAGGCTTCTTGCTTAGGCCCCGCCCAGTCGCCATAAGGCCCGCCCCTCAACCTTCACTTATCCCGAGCCTTGGCCTCAGGCCTCGCCCACCCACGTGTTCACAGCCTTGGCCACGCCCACGAGTGGCCCAGCCGGGTCAGCCTTGTGGACCCCGCCCTGGGATTTCCGTTCCGCTCCCTTAAGGGTTCACCTTTGGTGCCCTCCCCACCCAGCTCCCGGCTCTCACGCACTGTGCTCACCTGGAGTGCAGAGGGTCTCGCAGACCAGCGGGCAGAGATAGCAGAACTGGCAGTGCTAGGGGCGGGACCAAAAAAGATTCCATTAGGGGAGAGAGTTGGGCCTGGGGTGCCCGTGAAGGTGAAGGATAGAGTCGTAGGGGGTGCAGAGACAAGGGTACCTCAGGGGTTAGGGTTAGTGTGGGGTTAGAGACCAGGATGTAAGGCCGGTTCCAGGTCATCCTGAGGCCTGGTGGAGCCTCCGGCCGGGGAGAGGTCCCACCTGGCACTGATCGCAGTGTTCTCCCATGTTCTCCTCTTCACAGTGACAGTTCTCACATTCAGTGCATCGCTGGGGACAGAGGAACTGGTTAGATGGGAACCGGAACCCCCGACTGGGACCCTAGTACTGGGACAAGGGAGTTGTCCACACCACCCCCTGGACCTTTCTCCAAACTCCTCACTCTGGTCACTGCCAAGTATCTTCCCTCGGCTGGGCACACCAGAGGCTGGCTCCCCATCTCAGGGTGACCCCAGTGAACCTTCGCATGCCCGCTGCCTGTCGGTCTCCTGTCCCTCCTGACCTGGACTCTTCACTCAGGCCTGGGCTGTGTCTTTACCCTCTGAGTGCGGTTCAGCTCTCATTCTCCCCTTCTCGCACCGGCACCCCAGCCTCCTGGCCTCTGGTTGGTCCTAGAAGTATCTTTCTCACTCAGACCTGGCTCTGTCACTCCCTTGCTCAGAGGACCCTGGGACAAATATTCAGGGACAGTGTGTGAGCAGGTCCAAGATGGGCACATACATTGCAGAAGGTGCAGTAGCTGCACAGGGACCCTGGCTGGTAGTTCCCGTACTCCTGGATGTCCTTCGAACCTGTGGGGACAGGAGGGCAGCGGTGACCCAGGCTAATTCTGCTCCTCCCCACCCCCACCCAGCCAGGTCACCACCTACCTGCATCCTCACCACTGTCCTCCTCACTGGAGACATCGTCAGCCGCTTCCCTCCCAGCCAGGGGGTTAGGGATGACGATGAGCGGGATCTCCTCTTCCTCCAGGATCTCCTCCTCCTCTACCTCCTCCTCCTCCTCCTCCTCCTCCTCCTCCTCCTCCTCCTCTTCCCTGTGATCTTGGCTCAGTGAGGCCCGAATCTCAGCCCTTTCTTCCTTCCTCTCTTCCTCCTCTTCCTCCTCCTCTTCCTCTTCCTCACTCATGCTGAGGCTATGACCTTCCTCCTCATCTTCCTCATCTTCCTGGTCCAGGTGGGCCCCTTCCTCCCCCTTCTCTGAGCCTTCATCATCTTCCTCTTCGGAGCTGTGGTCTTCTCTTTTCTCTTCCTCCTCTTCAGAATCACCCTCCTTCAAATGGCTTTTCTCCCTGACTCCCACATGCTTTGAGGGCTGGGGACTGACACCTTCTCGGATGGACCCTCTGTGACCATGCAGGGTCTCTTCCTCCTGCTGGTCCTGTTGCCTGTGGCCAGGGGGCTGGGGACCGAGCTCAGCATAGATGTCGTCATCTTGCTCCCTGGAGACCCCGTGGTGGCGATGACCAGGGGTTTCTGTTTTGTACTTCTCTGTGGAGTCCTCTTCCTCCTCCTCCTCACTCTTGGGGCCTTGGGGTGGATGGCTTGTAACATGGCTGCTGAACTGGACTGTGATCTCCTCCTCCTCCTCCACCTCCTTGTCTCCAAGGTCCTGGTGGGCGTGTCTGGGAGGCTGGTACCAGTGTTCAGTGGACATGTCCTCCTCGTCCTCTTCTGTGGGCCTGTGGCCTTGGGCAGGGATGTGATGGTGGTGTTCATCTGAGGTCTCCTCGTCTCCTTCTTTGTGGCCTTGGTGCCTGTGGGCGTCGTGTCCCTCCTCGGTAGAGACATCCTCTGCCTCCTCTTCCTCTCCTTCCTCATCATCTTCCTCTCCTTCCTCATCATCTTCCTCTTCTTTGTGGCCTCGGTGCCTGTGACTGGGGACAGGATGGTGGTGCTCATCTGAGACATCCTCATCCTCTTCCTTTCTGTGGCCTCGGTGCCTGTGGGCACGATGCCCATACTCAGTGGAAGCACCATCTTCATCATGGTCATCATCTTCTTCGTCTTCCTCTTCTTTGTGGCCTTGGTGCCTGTGGGCATGGTGTCCATACTCCATGGAGACATCCTCTTCATCTTCATCGTCATCATCATTGTATTCCTTTTCTTTGTGGCCCTGCTGTCTGTGTCTGGGGACAGGATGCAGGTGTTCATCTGAGACATCCTCATCATCTTCTGTCCCGTGGGCTCCGTGTCTGTGGGTGTGGTGGCCATACTTGCTTGAGAGTTCATCTTCATCATGGTCATCTTCATCATGGTCATCATCGTCTTCCTCTTCTTTATGGCCTCTGTGCCTGTGGGCCTGGCGCCTGTCCTCAGGGGTCCCCTCCTCCTCCCTCTCTTCCTCCTCTCTTTCACCATCATCATCCCCACCATGGCCCCTGTGTGTGTGCTGGAGAACGTGTCGGTGATGCTTGCTGGACAGCACATGATCCTCCTCTTCATCCTCACTGTCATGACTGGGGTTCCCATGGCCGGGGAAGTGGTTCTCAGGGCCTCTGTGCCCATGGGCCCACTCTGTGAAGACCTCCTCAGAGCTGCCATTGTTTATCACCTTGTGGCCTTGGTACCTGTGGCCTTGGTGGTGGTGGCTATATTCCCTTGAGGTGTCTTCGTTCTCAACTCCACTGTCCCCATGACTTTGCCATGATCTCTGGGAATGATGTCTATTTTCCATGGAAATGTCCTTGTGCTCATCATCTTCATGGCCCCCGTGGCCGTGGATATGGTGGATGAACTCGGCTGATGTGTCCTCCGAGGGCTCAGGGACACCTGCGTTGTTGTTCCAGTTGCTGTGGGCCAGCCCGGCCCCTCTCAGCTGCTGGGTCACTGCGGGAGGGAGGAGCAGGTTGGCCACTGCGGCCCAGAGGAGAAAAGCATGTGGCCATGGCCCACGGTGGCCCATGGGGACGTTTTGTACCAGCACTTCTCCCAGTGCTGGCTCCAGCTACCTCGGGGGCTTGGTGGTGACTGTTAGGGACCTTGTCCCTGCCGAGTCTGGCTGACTGTGTCTTCCTTGCACCCTGCACCTTGTTGCTCTTGGTCGCTGCCTGTCCACTCTCCACTGGCCCCTCTGAGGCTGTCTTGGAGCCCCTGACCCCCTTTCAGGCCCTCCCTCCCCATTCCCTGGCCAATAGGGTCTTTCCCCTCCCCTAAGGGTGGCTAAATTTACTCTGAGCCTGAGTTATTCTGGGCCACTCCCGCCTCCCTCCCCTCCGCTGGGGAAGGCCTGCTGAGGGTCTCTCCCTGTGGGACACAAGCACTGGGGAACTTGACTCTGGGCCACCAACAGATTCTGGCTGGCAGCTTCAGGGATGAGGATGAGGGTTAGACTTTCAGTGGGTCAAGCTGGGGAAACCCAGGACCCCTGGGGGGCACATGGTGGGGAGACCTGTGCAGGGGCAGGACTAAGGTGCACTGTGGAGACCTTAGAGGCAGAAAGGGACGCCTGGCTGAGAAAGAATAAACCAACGTGGTGGGCCTGGAACCACTGGCGGAGCCCTGCCCCCGTGCAGGGCCCAGGAGCTCCCATCCCTGGGACTAAGATCTGGGGGCAGGGACTGGCCAGGCCAGGGCTATTAATACAGCTGGGAGCAGAGTGCGGAAGGCGATGGTGCTCAGGTTACCGAGGCCCAGCTGTCCCCATCGGAGAGCAGGCATATGACTGTGACACGTGGCCATGCCTGGGTCAGAGTGGCCCACTCCACAGCTGTCATGATTGCCCTAGCTCAATGGGTCACACACTTGTGTCACTCATTTTCTCAGGGTCCCTATCACCCTGCCACAAGACTCTGTCCACTTCTCATCCTAGACGCTGTCCCCTCTCACTCCGAGTGTCGTTTCCTGGGTTGTCTCTCTCTTGCACACTCTGGTCAGTGGACCCCACCCTACCCTTTCCACATCTGTGTGGCCCCCCCCCCCGTGTCCCCCTTTCCCTACTTCTGTTCCCTCTCTCTATTCTGTACCCCACCAGGTCTCTCTCCAGTCCGTGCTTCCGCCCGCCCCTCCGTTTCTGAGCCTCTGTCCTGGCCCCCCATCACCCTCCATCGCGGGCTTCTGCACCCCAGGCGCTGCGGTCCCTGTCTCTTTATCCCAGCCCTCCAGGCTCCCCGCCTCCCGCTGACGTCTCGGGACTCCCCGCCCCACTGCCTGGGAAGTGGCGGATCCGGTTTGGTTCAGGGCGGGTCTGGCGGTCCGCGAAGGTGAATGCAGGGAGTCTGGCGGCGGCAGCATGGTGGCCCCCGAGAAGGAGCAGGTATTTGCGGGCTGGGGGCGGGGAGCGGCCGGGAGCAGGCGCCGGGCCCGGCCCAGCGGGGACGCAGTGCGGGTGTGGACGGGTCGAGGCTCCGGGACCGCGACTGCGATCTGCGGTCCCCGGGACGCGCAGGGCTCGGGGTCCCCTGGTGTGGCACTGAGCCCTTCATCCCACCCCCTCCTTGTTCCAATCCCCAGAGCTGGATCCCCAAGATCTTCAGGAAGAAGATCTGCACTACCTTCATAGTTGACCTCTCGGACCCGGGGTGAGGACTTGGGGGCGCCGGGGGCGGTGGCCACGCCCACTCGGTCTCGGGGACCCCTGCTGCCTGCAGCCCTGTCCTTTCTGCTCAGGGTCCCTGCGCTGTTTCCATCCTTCCGTGGGTCTCTTCTACGTTCACTTTGTGTCTCTTTTGACTGTTTCTTTACCCCCTCTCTCCCCCCCCACCCATCTGTCCGGTCCTCTGTCCCGCCATCCCTCTGTCCTGCTTCCCTCCATCCAAGCCACCCTCCTCACCGGGAATCCGAAGGGAAGCAGCCCTTTCAGAGAGTGCAGGCTGGGCAGCGTTTAACTTTTACTGAGCTCTGTGGCTTCGGGCGATCAGTTTCAGCTCTCTGGCCCTCCTTGGCCACCGAGCATGCGGTCAGCGGTCCTCTCAGGATTGCTGTGGGAATTAAGCAGGTTCCTGCGGTGGCACTGCTGGAACCTGAGCCCAGGAGACAGCACCTAATAAGCAGCAGAAACCTCTGCAGCTGCCACACCGGTGTGTTGACCCTGAGGGGCTCCCTTTCTGGGGGGAATGGTCTCTCAGTGGCTTGAGGCTTTCTAGTTCTCTCTAGCCAGGCTGTGCCAAAGGTCCCCATCCCGGTTTCAGGTGTGTTTGTTAGGAAGGCGTTCCTTTCGAAGGGGCCCCTGGGAAGTCCGGAGTTGAAACCAGGGCCTTTGTACGCACATCTGTGGTCCTTTTTCAAAATTTAAATTTAATTTTTTTTTCTCTTTTGGGTCCTGAGAATTGAACTCAGGGCCTCATGCTTGCCAGGCAGGCGCTGTGCTGCTGAGCCACATCCTGGGGCCTAATTTAATTTTTATTTACTTTTAATTTTTAATTTTTTTTAAACTCTAAGACAGGGTCTCACTTAGTTGCTAAGAGCTTGAACTTGAGAGCCTCCTGCCTCAGTCTCTCACAGCGCCACAATTAAAGGTGTGGGTCGCCCTGCCCCGGTTTGTTAGGAAACTATTTCCTTGGTGTGGGGCAGCTTGCCAGCTGTGTATAAACACATTCTGGGGTGTGGTGCCAACGGGAAGTATCACGGCGCTCTGCGTTGCTTGAAAGGTAGACGACCAGGAGGGGGGCAGCTGCCATGGACGGGCCCTGGGCCAGGGACATGCGTCCAGCTGGGGCTGGGAAGGAGACACAGGTGTCCCTAGTGGCTTGGGGGAGGTGCTGGTGAGGTGACATTTGAAGGTTGAGTTGGATTTGACAGGTGAAGCTAGGCAGGACAGCGTCACATGGAAAGTCACCCCGGGAGTAGGCATAAAATATGCAGTCACCCCGATGACAGCGTAGTGTGGCCTGAAAACCGAGTAAAGGTCAAGGAACAAGGTGTGTTGTCCCAAGAGCGGAGACTGCAGAGGATGGTGGCCCCTCCTAAGACCTCCCAGGATCTCACAGGCCACTCTGAGTGGCTGGGATCTTGTTTTCCAGTGCTGGGATGATTGAGGAGGGGGCCACTGCAGGATGAATAGGAGTTTGAGATGCCAAGAAGGAGGTATTTAAGAGTCTAAGAGAGAGGGAGGGGAACAGGTGAGCTAGGTGAGCACTGCAGCAGGAAGGGACAGGGCAGAGACTGCAGCACACAGGGTGGAGCTTGAGGACCAATGGCAGTGGGGAGGAGGTCCCTGTGATGGACGCAGTGATGGCGTCCCCAGACAGTGAAGAGCATGGGCAGGTTTGCGTGCTGTGTTGGGCTGTGTGCTAATGATGAGTCTGGGTGTGCCCAGATGTGTGAGACCCAGGCTGGGGTTCAGGAGGAGGCCAGGCTCCCAGCAGAGTCTGAGAGGTTCTCACTGTCCATGGAAGTGGAAGAGATGTCACAGGCAATATGGCCGCCCTATGGCCACTGTGTCCTTTTCCTTTCCTTTCTTTCTTTTACTTTTTTGTTGCTGGGGATGGACCCCAAGGCCTTCCTATTGAACTCAACCTCGATACCTTTTTTTTTATTTTGAGAAAGGGTCTTACTAAATCACTAAGTTGCTGGACTTGAATTTAGGATGCTCCTGCCTCGGCCTCCCAAAATGTTGGGACTATAGCCACGTGGCACCATGCCTAGCTCTGATCTGATTTTACCAAGCATCTACTATTTTAGACTATGAGATGCCCAGTAATTATAACAAGCCCTTGCATGGTTTGGGACGACAACCCTAAACAGTGCGGGCTCAGGATGGTTCCTAGAAGCTTTGCTAGGCACAGCTGGAAGGACACAGAGAGGTCCAAGCATGGTGCTGAGATGGATACAAAAATACACAGAGGTTTCCCCGGGCCCTGGACGCCTCCCCGCATTGTGATTTCCAGTGTGCCCGGAAGTGGGTGTAGGGAGACTCTTCCTGTGCCTTGTGTGTGCATCAAGGTCGGGCGGCCGTCTGAGATGTATCCTTGGGCTCACTCTGTTGCACAGGCGGCCTCTAACTCGAAGTGTCCTCCTGCCTCAGCCTCCCAGAGTGCCATCTGCCCCTCACGGCTTTTGCTGAACCCTGGTGCCACCTGTATTATCAGTTCCGTAAAATTGGTCCTTCAATGGACTTATCCTGTTACAGCAATCCAGGTCACCTGCACTATCCAAATTCTTTCTGGAATCAGGGACCAGATTTATTTTCAACAGACTTCCTCACCCCCTTGCTCTCTGAAACTCTAGCAGCACCAGCCGCAGAAGCCAGTGAGAGTTATGTGTTAAATTTTACATACGGTGACCATAAAAGGGAATCCTATTCCATCTGAAAGAAACAGGCCAGAGAACCAAAAACAATGAACAGCAAGTAAAAGTATTTTCTTTTAACCTCAACTCTTAACTTGTAAGAATGGAATTTTTTTTGTTGTTGTTTATTAATAAAAGTATTTTCTGACTGGATGATTTGTCCAGTGTTTTCTGGGCTTGCTTCTTTTCTGCTAAAAAAAAATTGTAGCGAAGGGTTAGGCCTGAAGGATACTCAGCTGAGCCTACTCCCTGACTGCAGTCAGCACTGAAAAAGAAATGACTTTCTTGCTGTGTTATTCAAAGTTATTTAAAGCTCCGTGTGAAGGTGTGAAGTTCACGCAGTCGGTCTCCAGCTGGGACCAGCAGGCGCTCCTCCTCTCCTCTGCTCCTCCTCTCCTCTCCTATTGGGAAACAGGGCGTTATTGTTATTTCCGTGACTCCTCAGAGTTCTCCTGGAGTAGGTGCAGCTATTATCTTTTTTTCCCTGGAAGAGGAAATTTAGGCTCAGAGAGGTGAAGCCACATGCTGGAAGTCACACAGCCGCCTCAGATTCCAGCCATGAGCTCTCTTATTCTCTGTCTTATGTATTTATTCCATGGTTTGAAACAAGACCTTGCTATGTAGTTCAGATTGGGCTGGAACTCACTTCATAGTCCAGGCTGACCTTCAGCGCCTCCTGCTTTAGCTTCCTAAGTGCTGGGGTTACAGAGACGCACCATGCCACTATGCCCTGATGGATTTTTCCCCCTATAGTTTTCTTTCCATTCCTTTTTTGAATTTACCTTCTCATGGTGACCATGACCTCTTTGGGCTGAGGGCAGCCAGGACCCTGGCTGATGGCTATTGTGGCTTTTCCCCTGCTGACCCTGCAGGCCACAGTGGGGTGGGGCCCTGTGCACCCTCTGCTTACTTGTAGCTTCCTTCTGGGGGGGAAAGAAGTGCTGCATCTGTCCCGGCCTCAGTCTCCCCAGGCATCAGAGCCACTCAGTCTCTCCAGGCATCAGAGCCAATACCGGGTTAGCATGGACTCTGGCTCCCTCTGGGCACAGAGGGTCACTCGGATGCTCCTACAGGATGCTGGGGTCAGCAAGGACACCCCGGATTCATGCTCTACCTTTGCACCCCCAGAGGGACCCTGTGCCAGTGTGGGCGCCCCCGGAATGCCCACTCCTCGGTGGCTGTGGAGGACGCATTTGGGGCAGCTGTGGTGACTGTATGGGATAGCAACGTGCACACCACGGAGAAGCCCACCGATGCCTATGGGGAGCTGGAGTTCGTGGGCGCAGGGCGCAGGCCCAGCAACGTGAGACTGGGGGTGGGGCGGGGTGGGGTGGGACGGGGTGGGCGGGGGACTGGGGACCCAGAGCAGTGCCAGGGCCCAGGCTGGTCTCCCCACATGGACCCCTGTCTCTCCCTCTGGGTCTCTGGCCCCCTCTGTCTCTGGGCTCTGTGGGTCTCTGTCCTCCATGTCTTTGGGTCTCTGTCCCCCATGTCTCTGGGCCTCTGTCTCCCACCTCCACGTCTCTGCGAATCTGTCCTCTATGTCTCTGGTCTCCATCCCTTCCCCATGTCTCCTCCCGTGTGTCCACAGTTCCTTCGGCTGTCTGACCGCACGGATCCAGCAACTATTTATAGTTTGGTCACCCGAACTTGGGGCTTCCGAGCCCCAAACCTGGTGGTGTCGGTCCTGGGGGGTTCGGGGGGCCCCGTCCTCCAGACCTGGCTGCAGGACCTGCTGCGACGTGGGCTAGTGCGGGCCGCCCAGAGCACAGGTGACCAAGGGCGGGTGGTGACTGGGCCCCAGGGCCACCTCATGCTGCCTGCACTGTCATGGGGCTCTTTCTTCCTCTGAATTCTCCCCTCCGTCCCTCACCTGTCCCTGTACCCTGTCGCTCTGTGCAGGGGCCTGGATCGTCGCTGGGGGGCTGCACACTGGCATCGGCAGGCACGTGGGCGTGGCGGTGCGGGACCACCAGACGGCCAGCACTGGGGGCAGCAAGGTGGTGGCCATGGGCATGGCGCCCTGGGGCGTGGTCCGGAACAGAGAAACCCTCATCAACCCCAAGGTGAACCGGGGTCCGGGAAGCAGCGGGGGGGGGGGGGGTAACGACACCCACATCCAGGGTCTGAGCAGGAGGAGCCTTTCCTGCCCCCTCCTGGAAGGGCTTCTTGTCCTCAGGGTTCCTTCCCCGCAAAGTACCGGTGGCGCGGCGATCCCGAGGACGGAGTCGAGTTCCCCCTGGACTACAACTACTCGGCCTTCTTCCTGGTGGACGATGGCACCCACTGCTGTGCGGGCGGCGAGGACCGATTCCGCCTGCGCTTCGAGTCCTACGTGGCGCAGCAGAAGACGGGCGTGGGCGGTGAGTGGCTGCGGACTCAGGAGCCGGTTTCCTGCGATCGCGCATCTTTTCTGTGTTTTACAAATCTTAACCTTAAGTCTTTCCTGCATGCAGGAAAGCACAGAGCGTGTCGGTCCCCGTCCCCCCCCCCCCCCCCCCCGTGCCCAGCGAGCAGCAGCCAGGCTCCAACCTGAGACCTTGAGTCTAGCAGGGCGGGTGCGCTGCCCCTGAGCTGTGTGTGGAGCGCAGAGCATTTATACCTTGAGTCCTGGGAATGCGCGTACACTCTTGGGCCGGGCTTCTTATAACCCGTATGGACTTCGTGAGTTTCATTCATGGCACTGCATGAGCTGAGTGTGTGAGAGGCCCCCGGGGCCCAGGAAGAAACAAAACTTAGGAGGTCTTTGAACTGAACAATGAGGGTGTGATGCGCACGTACTTACTGGGTCTAATACGTGGTGTGTGTGTGTGTGTGTGTGTGTGCAGATTAAAAAATCCATATACTAGAAAAATCGCGATTCACTGATTTAAGCTTCCCAACTTAAATGTAAAAAAGAAATGTAAACAAACAAACAAACAAACAAAAAAACCCCTAGAGACAGAATAGTAAATCAAAGCTGAGGAAGCAAGGAAATGATAGCCAGAAGGGCAGAAATCAATAAAATGAAACACATGTATGATAGAGAAAAAAATCAACAAAATTAAAAGCAGCTTCTTTGTAAACACTATCTGCATCAACTAATTAACTGTTCTGTGGGGATGCTGAGGCCTGGAGCCAGGGCTTTAGCACTGGGGTACACTGCGACTCGCCTGCAGAACTTCCGGAAAACACTCAGTTGCCCCAGGCTGGCTGGAATTTGAATCCTCCGGCCTCGGACTCCCAGTGTGGGGATAACAGGCACCACCACACTCTCAGAGTTTTAAACTTGTTTAACTCTAGTCAGCTTCAGTAGTATTTTTGAAGTCATCACATAGCATCACAAGTGACTGGTGGGTGCAGTGTCTGCGTGTGGTCATGTGCGTACATCCGAGTATTTGGAACCGAGGGAGGATGCAGACTAGTGCATGTCCGTGTCAGTCTCTAACTCCTGGAACCCACCATCTGTTCTCAATTCCTAGAAGTGTTTTATTTATTTTTTTTGTCACCTTTGTTTTTTCTTTCTTAATTTTAAAAATTAAAAAAAAATTTTTTTGAGACAGGATCTCACTACATAGTCCAGGCTAATCTTGAATTCACTATTTAACCCACGCTGGTCTAGAACTCATGATCATCCTCCAGCCTCAGCCTCCTAAATGCTGGGATTGCAGGCATGCTCCACCACACCTGGCTTGCTTTATTTTTTATTTTTAAATTTTATTTATTTATTGGTACCATGGATCAAACTAATGACCTGGCGCCTGCTGGGCAGGCACTTATGCTGCCCAGCTAAATCGCCAGTATCCTTGTTTTATCTTTTGAGAACTTTCACTATGTAACTCAGGCTGGCTTCGAACTTCCTGGGATCCTCCTGCCTCAGCCTCTGGAGGGCAGGGATCACAGTTGTGCATCTCCATGCCTGCTAGCAGCACTACAGTTTTGTCTTGTGAGGTTGTATGGTAAGTGTGAGCCAGGTTGAGTAGCCTTTATCTGAAACATATGGAATCAGAAACGGCTTGAGTTTCAGAGGTTTCCCATCTTTAGGCATTCCGTGCAGTTCAGCATCTCTAATTAGAGAAATCTGCAATCATGTCAGCATTCGTATTTCCAGTCTGAGCACATGGTCGATTTTGGAGTGTGGGATGATGGTCCATGACCTGTAATTTACTTGTAACCCTTTGAGGCCAGCTTTAGTGTGTGTGCATGGGAACAAATCAAATCATAAAAAGGTATATCAAAAAGCTAATTATTCTCTTTCCCGGTTCCAACTTCTTGCCAGCCAGGGTTATTGAAGTACACCTCTTTGTACATTTCGGTGTGATAAAATTCTGTGCCATAGCCGGGCATGTTGGTGCATGCTTGTAATCCCAGCACTCAGGAGGCTGAAACAGGAGGATCATTGAGAGTTCCAGACCAGCTTGGGCTACAGAATGAGCACAAGGCCAGCTGAACTGCATAGCGAGACCCTGTCTCAAAAAGACGAAAAAAAAAGAAAAAGAAAAAACTGTGCAATTACATTTCCGACTCTGCGGGGTCTCTGGTTTATGGGCCAGGCGTATCCATGTGCTGCTTTTCTCAGGAGCACCTTCAGGCCCAAGTTCTCTACCTTGCTGCTGTTTTTAATCACTGCTGAGCAACTAGACTTGGTAAAAGAGCCCTTGCCTTGCATGTGCCAGGCCCTGAGTTCCATTCACAGTAACACACACACACACACACACACACACACACACACACACTCACATTCCTTACTAAGAAAGTATCACATCAGAGCCCAGCATGGTAGTGCACACCTATTGTCCCAGCACTTGGGAGAGGCTGAGGCAGGAGGATCACTGTGAATTTGAGGCCCATCATAGCAAGATCCTGACTCAAAAAGTTAGATTAATATTTTAATATTATGTTTATTGCCATAAAAATTCTGTCCCTTTATGTGGTTAGGCATCTGCTGTTCCCTTCACGGTCCCTGGGTGGACTGGCTCTATGATAAATGTCCTCCTAAGTCTTTTTAAAAATATCTCACAGTTTAATATTTAAACCTTTAATCCATCTGGAAATGATTCTTCCATCTTTGAAATAAGGAATGCACATTTCTTCCCTTCCTTGGGGAATCATATTTCCTTCATGACTGTTTAATAAATAAAACCATCCCTTAGCCACAGCTAAGTATGCAGTGTTTTCGTATGTTAGGATCCGTTTCGGTTTCTTTCCCACCTCTATATTTATCTGCTCCTCTGCCTGCCAGATGATGCTTGGATTGGAGCAGTAGAGATGTGTGAGGGAGCATCCTTCTAAACGACCTGTCTCCGAAACTTCCTGGCTCTTGTCTGACATTTATGCTCTGTTAAGATTATCTGTTCCATTTCAAAACAGGCACACGCTTCACAGTTCCTTCACCCTCTCCGCCTCCCCCATCACATTCACTCGATGATTAAGAAGAGTGAATTGGTTAGTGATAGTTTTCCCATCTCTTCTGGCCTCAGGCTTAAATGAGACTTCTAAATTTCCTCATAACAATTTTGTACCTTTCTGGATCAAATAATTCCCAGATGTCTGATAGTTTTTATTAAAACATGAGTAAGATACAGGTAATGGTTTTGATTTTTTTTTTTTGTCTTTTTGAGACAGGGTCTCTCTATGCAGTTTGGGCTGGCCTTGAGCTCACTTTGTAGCCCAGGCTGGTTTCCAACTTGCAATGATCGTCCTGCTTCAGCCTCCTGAGTGTTGGGATTACAGGCATGAGCCACCATGCCCAGCTTGATTTGCTGTTTTTGGAGACAGGTCTCACTATGTAGTTCAGATTTGTGTGATCCTCCTTGCCTCAGCTTCCTTAGTGCTGCAGTTACAGGTGTAATCCAGCAAGATACAGATTATTAATCTGAGAAGATTAATACAGATTATTATTTTGACTGCTGTTTTTCTTGCATCAATTCTTTTACCAAGTTCTCTTATTAATATTTTAAGCTTTTAGGACTGGGGATTTAGCTCAGCGGCATAAGGGCCTGCCTTGCAAGCAGGCAGTTGTGAGTTCGATCCCTGGTACCGATAAAAAGGAAAAAGGCATATATATATATATATATATATATATATATATATATAAAAGCTTAAATATATATATATATATATATATATATATTTAAGCTTTTAATTTTTTGCTCAGGTGTCCAGTTTTCTAAGAATGTAAATCATGTTTTATTCAAATAGACACTTTGCTTTTTACAGATTTGTAAAAAATACTAGTTTGAATTTGTTATTCTTTTCTCTTTTTTTGGTCTTTTTGAGACAGGGTTTCCCTACTATGCAGCCCAGGCTGGCCTTGAAGTAGCAGTGATCCTCCTGCCGCAGCCTCCCAAGTGCCAGGATTATAGGCACAAGCCGCCAGGCCTGCTGTTCTATTTTCTTGCATTATTACATTGCTCACAGCTCTAGGATAAGCGGAGTGTACATAGTGGTAATTCAGCCCAGGGTCTTATTTCAGTGGACCAGAGTTACTATGAAGCCATCTTACAGGATTTCGCTGTTGGACTTTGGTAAATGACTTTATTATGTTTGGATAGTTCTTTGCATTGCTATTTGCTTCTTTTCCTATGTGAACTTTTACCTCCCCTGGCTTCTAATTCATTAATCAGTGTTGAGATTGACCCTAGGAAGAAATGCCTGGATCCCTCCGGAGCCCCAGTTCTCTTCTCCCTGGAGAGGTTCAGCAGTGTGACCTCCTCCAGGCACAAAGAGATGATAATTCTCAGCTGGGGCCAGGCATAATGGCCCATACCACTAATCCCAGTACTCAGGGAGGCTGAGGCAGGAGGATCACCATGAGTTTGAGGCCAACCTGGGCTACAAAGTGAGTTCAAGGCCAGCCTGACCTGCATAGCAAAACCTCATCTCAAAATACAAAACCAAACAAAACAAACACAAAGCCAAAACAAAACCAACAAAACAGATGTGGTGGCATGTGATTATGACCATAGCACTCTGGGAGCCTAAGACAGGAGGATGGCAATTTTTAGTTCAGCCTAGACAACTTAGTTACTAAGTAATTTTTATCAAAAGAAGGTGAGAGGCTGGGTATGTAGCTCAGTGGAAAGGCAAAGGGTTCAGAGCTTAGTAAGACACACACGCACACACACAGGTCAGGAAGAGGCACCCTCTTGCCCCAGGGACTCCTGGGAAGCGTGGTCTCCTATACACAGCATGGCTGAGGGGTGGTAACCGTGTTCCTGGCTCTCTTCTCTCAGGGACCGGAATCGACATCCCAGTCCTTCTTCTCCTGATAGATGGTGATGAGAGGATGCTGAAGGTAATAGGAGGGGAGGCAGCCAGGTCTCTGGGCCCCGAGTCTCTCGTGCTGCAGGAGGGGCTGCAGGGTCATTGTCCTGCCTTCTCTGACCTGGTGTCCCCTGCATCCCCAGCGGATAGAGGATGCCACCCAGGCCCAGCTCCCCTGCCTCCTGGTGGCTGGCTCTGGGGGTGCTGCTGACTGCCTGGCTGAGATCCTGGAAGACTCTCTGGCCCCAGGGAGTGGGGGCACAAGGCGAGGTGAAGCCCGAGATCGGATCAGACGTTTCTTCCCCAAAGGGGACCCTGAGGTTCTGCAGGCCCAGGTATGACTTGGGGCTCTTTTGGCTCCTGAGGTGGGAGGTTGGGGCCTGGGCTCCTAGGTATTGGGGGCAGTGGGTTCCAGAAGAGCTGGCCTGGGTGTACAGGATTCCGTGTCTCAGGTGGAGAGGATCATGACCCGGAAGGAGCTGCTGACCGTCTATGCGTCAGAGGATGGCTCCGAGGAGTTCGAGACGATTGTTTTGAAGGCCCTCGTGAATGGTAACCTTTGGGCTCCCTCGTGCTTCCCTCTCAGCTTGGCCTCAGCCTCTGTCCCAACCTGAGTGCTCTGTTAGCCTCGCTTATCTGAGGCTGCATGCCTTTTGTCTCTTGAGTTTTTTCCCTGTTGTGCTTCTCCATCATGAATGCCTGACAGACTGAGAACGGGTCTTAGTCATTCAACAAACAAAAGCCATTTCTTGGTCTCAAGGAGCTGTGTCCTACTGGAGTCATTTGGTGTCTCTCATTCTCTCTCTATGCTGGGGAGGCGACCAGGGCCTCATGCCTGCTAGGCAAGTGCTCTGCTACTGAGCCACACCTCAGTCCTGGACAGAGTGTGAAGTAAAACTTAAGATAAAAGCTTAATGAGAAGTCCTTACCATGGGCAGGGAGGAGCTCCAGGAGTGGGCAGCATTTCAGCTGGACCTTGCTGACTCAGTAGAATTTGGGCTTAGATTGGGGGGATGGGTTGTGGGGCTCTGGGGACCTGAGTGGGGATGGTTGTTTTGCACTGTGGCCCCCCGAGCTGGCCCCCCATGTTTGGGGTGCTAGACAGCAGTAACTTTGGAATCCAAGCTGAATTTGATCAACCAGCTGGGCTCCTTCCTGACTATGTGACCCTCTGGCCAGATTTCCCCCTCTGGCCTTGATTTCTGTCTCTGAGAGATGGAGGTAGCATCTTGCAGGAGTATTGTGAGCCCCATCAGCAGCACCTGATCGTCAGTGGGGACCGTAGGAAGGGGTGTTGTTGTGTGATTCTGTCTCCCTGGGGACACATCTTCAAGTGGACAATGACAGCCAGGCAGATCTGATTTACTTTTCACAAGTTAACCCAGCAGGCTCCTGGGAGAAAAGCATGGCAGATTTGTAAGCTGTGGTTCAAGGGGTGGGGCACACGTGAGCTGGCCACTGGGCTTTGTGGGTAGCACAGGAGATTGCGGTTTGCTCCTTAAGTGTCTGGGGTGCTCAGGATGCTGTGCAGAGCACTGAGCATGCGTATCCAGCCCTGGTCCTCCCCCTCCCCCTTCAAGGACCCCTCCACTGTGTCATTTTTAAAGATGAAGGGACAGAGGCTTAGAGGGCAAAGGGACTTGCACAAGGTCACTCAGTTACTGATGGGTCAGACCTTGCATGACTGAGGAGTCAGCCCCTAACATGCATGGGGCATGCCTGGGAGGGTAAGTGGTCACCAGAGGGCAGGGTATAGTGTCTGGTAGCCAGGCCACCAGGAACCATGGATAACAGGCTGGTGCTGGACAGAGTCCTGAGAGGCAGGGGTGGTGGGGGACAAGGGTCAGTCCTGTGTGTGGAGAGATCCCTGGGAGTGGGAGGGCAGGCTGGGAAGGACACGAGACCTTGACCAAGGGAAGGGACTGTAGTACAGTGTGTGTGTAGCTGGGGGTGGGGGATTGAGGCTGGAGCTGTGGCTGGGGACACAGGGATTGCTCGGGAGACTCGGCAGAGCTGAGGGCTGGAGATAAGGCTTGGGGACTGACGTGCTGTGGGTCGGAGAGGAGGGGACAGGGACAGTTCCTGGGTACCCAGCTGGCTGACAGCAGACCTGGGGAAAAGGGATTTGGATGTAGACTCTGAGCTCAGTATGTGACATGGCATCCACAGAGGGTCCTCGTGATGTACGGTGCCAGGTTATGGGCCACAGCATATAATACGGGTTCTTAAACCCCACATCTGGCCAGGTATGGTGGCGCATGCCAGTTATCCCAGCTACTGGGGAGGCTGAGGCAGGAAGAGTGTAAGGCCAGCCCAAGTGACTGAGACCCTGTGTCAAAATATTTTAAAAATTTCAAAGAAAAAAAAGGGGGGGGGGCTGAGGATGTAGCTCAGAGCTCCCTGGGTTGATCGCCATTACCGCCATATGCCAAGCCAAGGTATTTCCCTTCCTCCTCTCCAAACCATGAAAAAAGCAGGGGAGAGTCACAGAATCACAGACAATTGCGCTCAGAATTCACCTCTGTTTTATGCAAAGGAGTAAAGGCCTTGTCAGGGTCCCACATGTCCCTGCCTCTCTGTGTCCTCAGCCATCAGCCTCACAGGGCTGTGGGACAAGTTGCAGGCTCCTTGGGGTTTGGAACTTTATCCCACAGCTGCTATCAGGGACAACGAAGCCGCAGGGTACCACAGTTGGTCGTCTTTGTAGCAGAGGGCCTTGGTTCCCTGCAGCCACCACACCTGGCTCTCTGTGCTGTTTTCAGTGGCCTCCTGGAGTTATGCTCATGTTCAGGGTTTTTCCAGCCTCATTTTCTGCTATGGTTGCTTCTTTCTTTTTGTGAGGTCTCCCAGGTATAGAGCCTGCCTTTCCCAGAACACCAAGAGACGTGATATGAGTAAGTGATGCTCCTCGGTGGCTTGGTGGTTTCAATCCACTGGTCTGAGTGCCAGCCTCAGTGACCTCACACTTGAGCTGGCCATGGTGGCGCAGGCCTGTAATCCCCACACTCTGGGAGGCTGAGGCAGGAGGATCCCAAGTTTGAGTCCAGTTTGAACAATTTATCAATTTAGGGAAACCGGATCTGGAAGTAAAAGGGCCGAGGATATAGCACCACCCATTGTTCTTACCCTGCCCTGACTCCCTGTCCCTGCACCCTCTCACCTTCCAGCCTGTCGGAGCTCTGAGGCCTCAGCCTACCTGGATGAGCTGCGTTTGGCTGTGGCTTGGAACCGCGTGGATATCGCCCAGAGTGAACTCTTCCGGGGGGACATCCAGTGGCGGGTGAGGCATCACAGCCTGGGGTTTGAGGATCTGGCCAAGACGTAGCTTCCGTGCCCCTCACCCCCAGCCTTTGGACACTTGCCTGGTCCTGCTCCCCATTATGACCGTCCAGCCTTCCCCGCACTGCCCATCCATCTCGATTGTTCTTTTGCTCCCCGCTTGTTCCTTCTGTCCCTCCACCAGTTCATCGTTCACTTGGGGCGGCCCCATCTCCGTCCTCAGCCTTGGAGCCCCCCGGCCTCGGTCCCTGTTCACCTCGTCCCCCACGCATCTTCTCCCGGCAGTCCTTTCACCTGGAGGCGTCGCTCATGGACGCCCTGCTGAACGACCGCCCAGACTTCGTGCGCCTGCTCATCTCCCACGGCCTCAGCCTCGGCCACTTCCTGACGCCCGCGCGCCTGGCCCAGCTCTACAGCGCGGCGCCTGCGCACTCGCTCATCCGAGCGCTCCTGGACCAGGCGGCCCACGGGGTGGCCACCAAATCCCCGGGGCCTAAGGGGGGCGCGGACGAGCTCCGGCCGCCTCAGGTGGGACAAGTACTGAGGACGCTGCTGGGGGAGACGTGCGCGCCCAAGTACCCCACCGTAAACGCCCGGGACCCGCACACCGGCAAAGGCTGCAGGGAGAGTGTAAGCCTGGAGAGGTGCAGGGCACTCCGAGGGTCCGGGGGCGGGGCCATGCCGGGAGGAGAGGGGCCACACAGGAGAGGGCGGGGCCATGGAACATCTGGCCCCAAGTGGCATCCTTAGCCACGCCTCCCGCACCTGCAGGTTTCTCTGCTCTCGGATTGGGCCACCTCAGAACCCTCACTGGAAGCCAGCTTTGGCCAGGCGCCCTGGAGCGATCTGTTCCTCTGGGCACTGCTGCTCAACAGAGCCCAGATGGCCATGTACTTCTGGGAGATGGTGAGTGTTGACTCCCATCTCGCATCTTGGCCTCTCTGCACGATGCCCTGACCTGTGACCTAATGCGCCACACTGCATCCTCACTCCTTGATGTGGGACGCCCACAGCTTCGTCTTTTTTTTTTTATTTCCTCCACAGCTTGCATTTTTCATAAGCTGATTTTTCCATGAACAATGCACAGTACTATATATTGGGCATTCGGTCACACAGAGATTCATCTCATTCTTTCACACTGGTTTCCTGTGGAAGGTTGGACCTGACCCGGTAGCTGACACAAGGAGTCCTTTCCAAACAGTCCCCAGTCTACTTGCACAGCAGGTGGAGCACCTCGGAGAGAGGTCTGAGAAATGAGACAAGTACAAAAACAATCACGGGATTCGAATAGGATCCAAAATGAAGTTGCTTTTATGCCAGAGAATTATCCTGATAGGACCTCTGTTACAACGGGTTTTCCTTTCAGCACTTGGGAGGCTGAGATAGGAGGAGTGCTGTGAGTTTGAGCCTAGCCTGGACTACTAGTGAATTTAAGGCCAGCCTGAATTACAGAACAAAACCCTGCCTCAAAAAACAAAACAAAACCAAAAAATGAACAAAACCCCCAAACAAACAAGAAATAATAGGCTGTTTCAACACATCTGGTCATAGGTTCTGATATTTTAACTGAGATTTTTAAATATCAAGATAAAAATTCATGTAAGATTCACCACTTAAGTTTTTTGTTTGTTTTGAGTTGAGGACTGAACCCAGGGCGTGCAGGCCCTGTGCTTGCCAGGCAGGCGCTGTGCCATTGAGCTATATCCTCAGCTCCTCAGCTTTTTTATATTTCCAAATAAGGTCTTGCTGGTTGCCCAGGCTGGGCTCCACCCTGTGGTCCTGCCTGAGGCTCCTAAGCAGCGGGTGTCTCTGGCATGCACCACCATGCCCGGCCTCACTGCTGAACCCATTTTGAAGTATACATTGGAGAAGCACTTAGTACACTCAGTGTTATATAATCATCACACTACCTACTTCCAGAACTTTAAACCACCAGAAATAGAAACCTTTAGCTTCCTAAGCAGTCAGTCCGCATTCAGATCTCCCCCACCCTCTGCTGACCGATAATCCACTTCTGTCTCAATGCAGTGGCCTATTGCAGACATTTTATCTAAATGCAACCATACACAGTGTGACCTTTTGTGACTGGTTTCTTTCTTTGGCATGTTTTCAAGGTTCATCTATATTACAGCAGCTAGCAGTGCTCCATTCCTTTTTATAGCTGAACAATATTCTATTGCATGAACAGACCACATTTTATCCATCCATCCCTCCATTCATTTGGGTTGTTCTGGCTTTTGGTTATTGAAAATAAGGCTGCAATGAATATTCAAGTACAAGTTATGTTTCAACACTCTTTTAGGCATTTATCTAGAAGTGGAATTGCTGGGTTGTCCAGTAACCTGTGGTCATGCTCTGTGTCTGGATGTTCCCCAAAGCCTCATGCTGTCATAGGTGGAATTTTTTGGGGGGGTCTTTTTTGAGACAGGGTCTTACTATGCAGTTTAGGCTGGCCTTGAGCTCACTTTGTACCCCAGGCTGATCTCAAACTCGAAATAATTTTCCTGCCTCAGCCTCCCAAGTGCTGGGATTATAGATGTGCATCACCACACCTGGCGATAGGTGGGGATTTTTCAGAGGTGGCTCGCTCTAGGGTGTGACTCATGATTCAATGCTAGGATCAAGGGTGCTAGGACTAAGGGTGAGTGATTACCACATTGGTCCCTTGATGGTTTGCCACTGTCCTAATCCTGGTAGTCTAGACAGAATATAAAAGAGGCAGAGGAAAGATGCTAAGGCCCCTTGCTCAATTTGCTATGCTTCCTTCTCCCCACCATGAACTGTTTCTCCTCTGTGATGCCCTCAACCTCAACCGATTATGGGCTGAAATCTCTACATACTGTGAGCAAAATAAACCTTTCCTTCCTTTTTTTTTTTTTTGTACCAGGGATCAAACTCACAACCTTGTGCTTGCCAGGAACCTTTCCTCCTTTAACTTTTGGTTTTGGGTATTTCATCTCAGTAATGAGAAAAGTAACTAAGATACCTTGTGTTTAATTTTTTGAGGAACTGCCACACTTCTTTCCAGAGTAATTGCTGCATTTTACATTCTCATCAGCAATATACAGCAGTTTCATCTTCTCTGTGTTCTTGTCAACAAATTTTGTTTTAAAAAAAATTATAAAATAAACTGGGCATGGTGGCACTCCCCTGTAATCTCAGCTCTCGGGAGACTGAGCAGGTGGATCGCTGCAAGTTCGAGGCCATAGTAAGTTCAAGTCCAGTCTAGACTACATAGTGAGACCCTGTCTCAAAAAATAAACTAAAAAACAATTATAAAATATACATAAAATTTACCATTTTAAGCCGGGTATAATGGTGTACACTTGAAAATTTAGCACTCAGAAGGATCAAGGTTTCAAGTTCAGGCCGGGGATTTAGCTCAGCGGCACAAGTGCCTGCCTTGCAAGCACACAGTACTGAGTTCAATTCCCGGTACCAAAAAAAAAAAAAAAAAAAAAAAAAGATTTCAAGTCCATCCTGGACTACAGTGAGAGTCTATCTCAAAACAAAAAAAAAAAAAAAAAAAAAAGAAAATGAGCATTTTAACAGTTCAAGTGTGCATTTGTGCGGTGTTCGCATTATTGTGCAAACACTGCTGTTATCTTCTTCTAGAACTTCTTTCCAAACTGAACTCTACCCATGATAACTCCAGTTCGCTCAAGCTCCTGGCAGTCACCATCCCGCTCTGTCTGTTGCCAATCTGACTGCTCCAGGACCTCACCCAAGTGGAACCATGGAGTATCTATCTCGGCAAACACTTTTTTTTTTTTTTTAAATCGGTACGGGGGGGGGGGGGGGGATCGAACTGACGACCGCATACTTGCAAGGCAGGCGCTTATGCCGCTGAGCTAAATCCCCAGACCCCAGCAAAGACTGACTTCACCCCCGGCCTCTGATGACCGCAGTTAACTTCCGCCCCCTCCTCTACCCCTCACTCAAACCCTTCTTGCACTGCCTGTGTCCCCAGGGCTCCAATGCCGTGTCCTCTGCTCTCGGGGCCTGCCTGCTGCTCCGGGTGATGGCTCGCCAGGAAGCTGAGGCTGAGGAAGCGGCCCGGCGGAAGGAACTGGCGGCCAAGTTTGAAAGCATGGGTGTCGGTGCGTGGGGGCCACGGCTGGGAGCTGAGCCTGGGGTGCTGGGGGAAGGGCGGGGTGGGTGTGTTGTGTGCACCCTCTGCCTGCACCTTCCCTTGCCCCCTCACCCAGCCCCTGTCCCCAGACCTCTTTGGAGAGTGTTACCGCAGCAACGAGCACAGGGCCTCCCGTCTACTCCTCCGCCGCTGTCCCCTCTGGGGTGATGCCACCTGCCTCCAGCTTGCCATGCAGGCGGACTCTCGTGCCTTCTTTGCCCAGGATGGGGTTCAGGTGAGCATCTGACTCTGGGGACGCCCCTTGGTCTTGAGCAGACCCTGCCCTGAGGACCTCCCTCCTGGGGCTGGCTGGCTCCTCTCTTAAGGGCTGATCTTCCTCTAAGACCCACTCCCACCCATGCCAGTCTTTCCACAGCAAAGCCCACCGCCCTACAGAGTCCCCCTGGGTAAAGGAATTCCTGTTATTTCTAGCAGGAAGTCCTCCTCCAGCCCTCATCTGCAGTCTCACCCACTACTGCTGGAGGAGCTCCCGCTGCTCTCAGGGGAAGTCCGTTGTACTTAAGAGGTCCCCCAGTTTTGGTTCTCAACAGTTAGAGTGACTTCACTCGCTGCTTGTGGTTGTGCACACCTGTAATCCCAGCCCTGGGCAGCCTGAGGCAGGAGGCTCGTTGTCATGAGTTCGAGGCCAGCCTAGGACACATAGTGAGTTCAAGGCCAACCTGAACTATATAGGAGACCTTGTCTCAAAAATAAAAAACAAAAAATTACATAGTGTTCTGAACACAGACAAGTTTTGTTTAGGAAATCCCACCCTTCCTGCAGGAAATTTTTTTCCCCAGGGCAGTACCACTTGCCCCAGATTTCTCTTCCATCCCAACAACTGGACATTTTGTAAACTTTCTCCGTATCCTTCACTTATTTTTTTGAGATGGGTCTCTGTAGTTCTGGGTGGCCTTGATCCTGCTATGTGGCTTAGGCGGGCCTTAAAATCATGATCCTCCTCCTGTCTCAGCCTCCCCAGTGCTGAGATTACAAACTTGTGCTGTGACACCTGGCCCTCAGGGGCCCTCATTTAATCTGACCAGAGGACAGACGTTTGCACCCTCAACAGAGTTCTGTACACCCAACAGGCAGTTTTGTTTATGTGAACAGGAAGTGTTATCCTCATCTATCAGGACGATTTGGCTGGTATTTCAATAATTACGAGAGTCCCTTGCTTCAAATAGCAGAGAAACTGGCAGGTTCCAGCTCTCCTATTTACTAACTATGTTTCCTGGGGTCACTTCCCTTGCATTGGACTTCGAAAAGAAAAAATACCAGTATGGCCCTCTTGAGGGCGTGGCTGGGATGAAGTGAGCTAATCCCTGGAAGTTGTTCAGCCCAGGGTCTGGCTCATGGTTTCCTTAGACATTGACTGCAAACTCTGGGCAAGGTGCCTACCTTTGACCACTGCCCCCAAGCCCTCACCGCTGTGACCCCCACACTGGCACTTGCCCTGCGCCCCATCAGGGCTTTAGTGGAGGCTGAGGGGTGGTTCAGACTCCTGATCCTGCCCATCCCCACAGTCTCTGCTGACACAGAAGTGGTGGGGGGAGATGGACAGCACCACCCCCACCTGGGCCCTGGTTCTCGCCTTCTTCTGCCCCCCACTAATCTACACCAACCTCATCACCTTCAGGTCAGTTCCTTGGGTCGAGATTGGCAGGCGGGGTCCCTAGCTGCTCTTCCTTCTCACTTCTGCCTGCCTTTCTGGTGTGCTCCTTCTCCAGGAGAGGGCCTCTCCATCCCTGCCCTGGGGGGAATGTTCTGGAAGGTGGATCTTTTGGGTGCTCCCTGCAGTATCTGGGAAGGGGGCAGCTCCTCTGCTTTTCTGGTTGTGGTCTGGAGAAGGGTCTCTTTGGGGTGAGTCTAGTGGCCACCTCTGTCTGCAGTGTCTCTGGGAGAAGAATTTGGGAGATTCTAGAGATCCCCATCTGATTCTTTCTCTGTGCTTCCCTCCCTGCCAGGAAACCAGAAGAGGAGGCCACACAGAGGACCCCTGACATCGGCATGGACACGGGCATTAATGGAGAGGGTCCCTTTGGGTGAGTGATACTCCCAGCACAGTGTGTGTGTGTGTGTGTGTGTGTGTGTGTGTGTGTGTGTGTACATACCGGGCAGTTTCAGGACACATGTGGCCTCTGCATCCCAGGAGGGACTGGGTGCAAAGCCTCTGGAAGTTTCTAAAATGTCAAGCTTGAGGCCTGGTTGGAGATTTGCTTCTGCCACCAAGGAAGCCCGTGTGCCTCAGGCTGCATGTGCTTTTGGTCCTCTGTAGCAAGTAGAGTCAGGTGAAGATGTTCATTTAGGGCTTTTTTGTTTTTGTTTTTCCTGACCCTTGAGCTCTTGCTCTGATAGGATGCTGTGGTAGTCATAAAGGTATTTTTAAAGTTAAGCTTACAAATTAGGTGTCATGGTGCACACCTGAAATCCCAACATTCAGGAGGCTGAGGCAGGAGGATCGTTGTGAGTTTGAGACCAGCCTGGGCTACAAAATGAGCTCAAGGCCAGCCTGAACTGCATAATGAGACCTGTCTCCAAAAGACAAACAAAAGAAAACAAAACAAAAAACCCCAAAAAACAAACAGACAAACAAACAGACAAAAAGCAAATGTTCAAGATAAAAGAGAAAATCTAAGAGAAATAGTGCCACAGAGGAAGTTTATATAAAAGCCATCATGCTGGAGGTCAGGGATGGCCTAGTGGCTTCCCGTATTCAGCACTATGTAATGACAGCTGGGCTAATAGCTAAAGTTATAGAATATTCACAATGGACAGCTATTGTGCTAATTTATTTTGAAAGTCAGGTCATTTAATATTCTCATGCAGTAAGGCCTATTACTCAGGTTTTTAAAAGTATCTCACTGTGTAGCGCAGGCTGCCCTCAAACTTACAGAAATCCTCCTGCCTCAACCTCCTGAGTGCTAGGATTACAGGTATGCCCCACTGCACTCAGCTTTCCTGTTAATTTTGACTTGATTATTACTACTCGAATTCATTTGGGTTTACATAAGAGGAACAGGGCTGGGGACATAGCTCAGCAGCACAGTTCCTGCCTGGCAAGTGTGAGGTCCTGAGTTCGATTTCTAATTCCATACAAACAAACCAAGACATAAGAGGAAGAAATTCAAATGGAGGATCAGCACTCAGGCCAGAAGGGTGAGAGATCTGAGCAGATGCTCAGGGCAGGACTCAAAGGCAAAGTTGGCTGTGTGGTCTTCGATCAGATATGGAGAAGTAAGAATTACGGGAGCAGCCTGGGCTGGATAATCTGTGGTCTCAGGAAAGCGAGAAGGTCACAGGCCATTTTGGATTCTGAGTCAGCAAATGGCCTAAGTCAGAGTTTGTGAAGGGAAAGAAGAGGGATTTGGAGAAGAAGCTAGACAGGAAGGAGTCAAAAGTCAGCGTTGGAAAGGTGGGGCGCGGAAGCCAGAATCGGATCATCAGCGACTCGACAGAGGAGATTTCAGAGGTCAGAGGTTGGATACCGGAGTCAGAAGCCCAGCAGCCAGGGCTGGGGGTGCATATATATCTTTGGAGGCTTAGGCAAGAGGACTGCGAGGTGGAGGCCAGCCTGGGCAACTTTTGAGACCCTGTCTCCAAATAAAAGTGGACTGGGGATGTAGCTCAGTGGGATAGAAGGCCTTGTTCATTCCTCATTTGGGTGGGAGGGGGTGGTGGGGAGAGGAAAGGAAGAGAAAAGGAAGGGAAGTGGAGAGGAGGGGAGAGGAAGGGAGGGGAGGAGAGGGGAGGGGAGGGGAGGGGAGGTTTCAGGTCACACAGGGACCCTGGCCATGCAGGTGTGGCAATTGATCCTCCTGCCTCAGCCTCCAGAGTGCCGGGATCACAGGTGTGAGTGAGCCTGGCCAAGGGGAGGGATCGCTCCTGGTGCAGGTCAGGGCTCAGGGCTGAGCCCTCCTCCTCCTTCTTCCCCTCTTCCTCCTCCTCATTTTTCTCCACCCCTCCCTCCGCAGGCCCAGGGACCCCACGGAGAAGGTGCAGCAGCCGGGCCACAGGGGGCGCTGCTCAGGGCGCTGCTGCCTGAGCCGCTGGTTGCGCTTCTGGGGGTCGCCAGTGACCGCCTTCCTGGGCAACGTGGTCAGCTACCTGCTGTTCCTGCTGCTCTTCGCGCGCGTGCTGCTGCTCGACTTCCAACCCGGGTCACCCTGCGCCTGGGAGCTGCTGCTCTACTTCTGGGCCTTCACGCTGCTGTGCGAGGAGCTGCGCCAGGGCCTGGGCGGTGGCTGGGGCAGCCTGGCCAGCGGGGGACCCCGGCCTGGCCACATCCCGCTGCGCCACCACCTGCAGCGCTACCTGGCCGACACCTGGAACCAGTGTGACCTGCTGGCCCTCACCTGCTTCCTGCTGGGCGTGGGCTGCCGGTAAGGGGCCCGAGCACCCTGGCTGCCGCCTGGCCCGGGGCTTGGGGTCAGGGCGGTCTCCTTGGTTTTTATTTTCCCTGTACTGAGCGTATGCAGTGCTCCATCCCTGGCCCTTGTCAGTATTTGCAAATGTATCTTATTCTCTGAAAATGTCCCACAGATTCTAGAGGACAGGATTGGAGCCATCACTGGCTCAAGATCAGACAGGACAGATTGCTTTTTGCCAGAATTTAATGAATGAATTAACTCTTTTCTATACGGCAGTGAGACAAAGTTCTGAAGTTCATGAGAGAAAACATTATCCTAAGTTTCTTCAAGATCTCTTTCTGTTTTCTACTCAAGATAGATGAAGTTACAGTCGTATGGCAACTGCTTTGGATTTTCCTCTCCAATGAATCTCCTTCCTTCTTGCCATTTCCCTTCCTCCCTGTGCTAGGTGCAGTGATGCACACCCAAAATCCCTGTTACTCGGGAGGCTGAAGCAGGAAGATCTCAAGTCAGAGGTCAGCCTGAGCAACTTAATGAGACTTTGTCTCAAAATAAAAATAAAAAGGGTTGGAGATGCATCTCAGTGGTAGAGTGCTTGCCTAGCATGCATGATGCTCTGGGTTCCATCTTCAGTGCTGCGAAGGAAAAGAAAAAAGCAAAAGACTTGGGTGACAGCAATGACTGCTTAAGCTCTGCCAGCTGGTGCAGGAGGCAGCTCCCTCCGTGCTGGGTTACGGTGATCTGAAGTCACCTGACGTGAAGTGTTTATCCAGACAGAGCACACTGCTGCTTCTGTTCACCCTTGTTTACTTGGTGTAAAGTATCTTTTGAGATGAAAGGACAAGGGCTCTTTCTGTTGTGCTCCAGGACTGCCAGCTCTGCTTGGAATATTTTATCAAGTGCTCCAGGTGGCAGAAAATCAAAGTGAGAAGCATTCCATCTTAGGGAGAAGTTTCCATTTACTTCCCCAATTGAATGGATGAATTGCTTTATTAATGAGTGAGTTATTTAAATTTTTTTTTTTTGGTCTTTTTCTTTTTCATAGGTACCAGGGATCAAACTCATGGCCACACACTTGCAAGGCAAGGCGCTTATGCTGCTGAGCTAAATCCCCAGCCTTGAGTTATTTAATTTTGAGACAGGGTCTTGCTATGTAGCCCAGGCTGGCCTTGAACTCAAACTTGCAGCAATCCTCCTGCCTCAGCCTCTCTAACTGCAGGGATCACAGGTACACAGTACCATGCTCATCTGATTCATTGTATTTTGCCATCTCTAGATGGATATTTAGATTATTTCTATTTGTGTGTTTTGTTTTGTTTTTTTGAGGCAGGGTCTCACTGTGTAGTTGCAGCTGGCCTTAAACTCACCGTGTAGCCCAGGCTGGCCTCAAACTTGAACCAATCCTCCTGCCTCAGCCTCCCAAGTGCTGGGATTACAGGCATGTGCCACCACACCCACTTACTTCTATTTCTGTGATTCCTAAACAATGAAAATTTACATCCCGGATGGAAAGTGGGTGGATCAAAGGGCACATACATTATTGACCCAGATTTCCTGTTATGTAGCTTTGCCCACTTACAGGGCCACCATCAGAGCACAAGAGTGTCCCCTTGAAGATGCTTTTGGTAATGCCTGATGCTGTCCATCTTTAACATTTTCTAGTTCTCAATTTGACTTTTCATTTTTCTGTGCATCTGTCAGGGAAAGATGACCTCCTCTGGTTTTAGTTCATGTGACTCTACTTGTTGTAAGCTTACTAGGCACATGGGTACCTATGTCTATGATCTTCATATTTTATCCACCCCACAATTTCATATGACAGTTCACTGAGTACCTGCCCTCCATCCTTCCCTCCCTCTCTCCTGTTCTGTGTTCTAGTAACTTTCTTCTTTTAGTATTTTCTTGCAACTTGAGGCTTGTCTTTTTTTGAGGGTTACTGGAATTGAAACTGAGCACCTTGTGCTTCCTTGGCTTTTTTTTTTTTTTTTTTTTTTTTTTTTTTTTTTTTTTTGAGACAGTCTCACTATGTATTCTAGGCTGGCTGTGAGCTCACTGTGAAGCCAAGGCTGGACTCAAACTCATGAAGATCCTCCTGGCTCAGCCTCCTGAGAGCTGGGATTACATACATGCTCCACCGCACCTGTGCACTTGTGTTTTCATTTTCATATGCTATCGTCAACATTCTTCTATTCTTTAATTTTGCATTTTGAAAAAAATCTGATACTAAAAAAAGTGGCAGAATCAGCCCAAAGAGTTCTCCCTACTTTCTTATAATCGAGGTCTTCCCAATGTCACCACAGGACATGATCTAAACTTGGAAACCACACCTAAAACCCACCAGCTGTCCCACCAACATCCTTTTCTTGGCCCTTTGCCTTTCTGGTCAGCTCTTCTTGTCGTTAGCTGTTGTGCCTTGCGTCCTGTTGAGTGCCCAGTGGAGGCTGGCCTGGGTACCTTTGATGTGGGTTTGGCTCCTGTTCCTTTGGGAATAAATTTAGGCTCTGCATTTTGGGCAGAAATGCTAAGGACGTTTTGCCTTTCTCAATCTCGTAGCCATGTCATCATTTTCATCTTTTTTTTTTTTTTTTTTTTTGAGACAGAGTCTCACTGTGTAGTTCAGGCTGGCCTTGAACTCACTTGGTAGCCCGGCCTGCCTTCAAACACTTGATGTCCCTGCCTCAGCTTCCTAAAAAAGAACAGGCATTACAGGCCATCCCGCCTACTTTCGGCAGTTTTCCAGGCTTGATGACCCTAATCCTTCACTTAGCCATTTACTTACGGGTGTCGGTTACCTGTGCCCCATGTGCATTGGTAACTGAATAAACCCCCTGCAAGTCAGGGTTCTGGGTCCAGCCCCATAGAGGCCTCAGCTCTTCCGAGGGCCTCCAGGGACCCTGCTGCGTGTCTCCCGACCCTAGGCTGACCATGGGTCAGTATGACCTGGGCCGCACCGTGCTGTGCATCGACTTCATGGTCTTCACGCTGCGGCTGCTGCATATCTTCACTGTGAACAAGCAGCTGGGTCCCAAAATCGTCATCGTGAGCAAGATGGTGAGGGCCTTATGGGCCAGGGGCGGGTGGAGGGTGGAGCCTGAGGGGGTGTGGCTTTGGTGGGGGGCCCAGGGAGGGCCCTGTGGAGCGTGGCTTTGGCAGGTGGGCGTGGCTATGAGGGTATAGTGTTGATAGTGGCGGGGCTATGGGTAGGGCAGAGCGCGCTCAGCAGCATCCTCCTCTTCTGCAGGTGAAGGATGTCTTCTTTTTCCTCTTCTTCCTCGGTGTCTGGCTGGTCGCCTACGGTGTGGCCACCGAGGGGCTGCTAAGGCCCCAAGACCGTGATCTCCCCAGTATCCTGCGTCGCGTCTTCTACCGGCCCTACCTGCAGATCTTTGGGCAGATCCCCCAGGAGGACATGGATGGTAGGGACCTGCCTCCTCCCTCTGGCCTCCGACCTCCGGGTCCCCGCTCCAATCCCTGGCAGTGCCTTTGCCAGGCCCCTGAGTGTCTGCTTTTGCAGTGGCTCACATGTTGCTCACGAACTGCTCGTCTGAGGAGGGCGCCTGGGCTCAGCCCGAGGGGCGCCTAGCAGGCTCCTGCGTCTCCCAATACGCGAACTGGCTGGTGGTGCTGCTCCTCATCGTCTTCCTGCTCGTGGCCAACATCCTGCTGCTCAATTTGCTCATCGCCATGTTCAGGTGAGGCCCCAGCACCCACTGCCCCTTCACCCGGTTCAGACCGCTGCACCCTCTTCCTCACTTGGACGTTAGACTCATCTCCCTTAGCCATGGCCAAACTGTCTTTAAAAATTGAGATTAAATACATACAATTTTTTTTTGTCTTTTTTGTTTTTATCGGTACCAGGGATCGAACTCAGGACTGCCTGCTTGCAAGGCAGGCACTTATGCCACTGAGATAAATCCCCAGCCCCAAATACATATAATTTAAATGACCCATTTAGTGACATTAATTATATTCATAGTGCTCTGCAGCTTCACCACAGTCGATTTCCAGAAGTGTGTGCTGTTAAAAACTTCTGTTTCGGGGCTGGGGATTTAGTTCAGCAGTATAAGCGCCTGCCTTGCAAGTGTGTAGTCGTGAGTTCAATCCCTAGTACTGATAAAAAAAGAAAAAGACAAAAACAAAAAACTCCTGTTTCCCTTCTCCAGCCCTTGGTAACACATCTGTGTCTTTCGATCGGCCTGTCCTACATGTTTCACACAGCTGTCCATGGGATTATGCGCTATCTGTCCTTTTGCTTCTGGCTTCTTTAACTTGGCACATCTTCAGGGTTACTCAGAATGCAATGCATTTTTATGGCTGAGTAATATTCCACTATCTGCACGTGTGTCTGCGTGTGTGTGTGTGTGTGTGTGTGTGTGTGTGTGTGTGTGTTAATTACCTATCCATCTGACACAGAGAGTTGGGTCATTTCCATCTTTTTGGCTACTGTGAATAATGCCACAATGACTGTCAGCATGCAGGCATCAGTTCAAGTCCCTGTTCTATTTCTTTGAGCTGTGCACTGAGCCGTGGCATGGCAGGGTTATACTGTAATTCTATGTTTAGCTTTTTGAAGATCTGCCCGCTCTTTTCCATAGCAGTTGAGTCATTTTACATTCCCACCATCAGGATGAGGTTTCTGGCTTCCCCACATCTGCACCAGCTTGGCATTTAACTTTTGTGAAAACCATATTCAGCCTGGCCTTGGGAAAGTGGTGTCTTGCTGTGGTTTTGAGTTGTATTTCTTTAGTGACCGTGTGGTGCTGACCACCTTTCTTTCTGTTAACTGGTGTGCTTGTTTTCTCTTTGGAGAAAAGCATATTCACACCTTTTAAAATAGATTCTCAGTCTTTTTGTTATTGCCACAGCTCTTTATATTTTCTACAGATAAACTTCTATTTATGATTTGTGAACATTTTCTCCCATTCTGTAAGTTGTCGTTCCCTTTTCTTGATAATATCTTTTGTCTTTTGTCTTTTTGAGACAGGGTTTTGAACCCACGGCGATCCTCCTGCCTCAGCCTCCCGAGTGCTGGGATTACAGGTGTGTGCCACCATGCCTGGCTTGATAATGTCTTATGGTGCACAAAGCTTTTGCTTCTGATGAAGCACAAATTATCTGGGTTTTTTTGTGGTTGCTTATAGTTCTGAGGTTGTACGTAAGAATCTATTGCCAAATCCAAGTCACGAAGCCTTCACGACTTTTTTTCCTACAAGTTCTATGCTTTTAGCTCTTTATGTAGAGACTGCTGTTGCTCCAGTTTTAGTTAAGCTTTTATGTATAATGTTTGGTAAGGGCTCAGTTTCATTCTTTGTGCTTGTGGAAATCTACTTGTTGCAGGCTAACTTGTGCAAGAGATTGTTTCTCCTCTTTGATTAGACTTGGTGTTCTTGTTAAAATCAGTTGGCTGTTTTAGTTTCCTAGGGCAGCTGTAACGAAGTCTGAAAGACTTCGTTATTTAAAGACCTGAAAGTCTTTAAATAACAAGAATATACTGTCTTATAGTTCCGGATACAAATTCAATGTCAAGGTTGTGGCAGAGTTGGTTTCTTCTGAGGAGTTTAAGGGCGAATCTGTTTGATGCTTGTCTCCCCTGATCTTTGATTTCAGATGCATCATTGAAATCTCTGCTTTCATCCCTCTGTATGTGCCTGTGTCCAAATCTCCCCATTTTGTGACAGTAGCAACCACCCTAAAGACCTCATTTTAACTTAATCACTCTGTAAAAACCGTATTTCCAAATAAAGGCATATTGTGAGAGGTTAGGATGTGAGCATATGTTTTGTTATTTTGAGGCAGGGCCTCACTATGTTGTTTAAACTCATTTATGTAACCTTGGCTGGCCTTGAACTCAGGGCAGTCTTCCTGCCTCATTCTCGAAAGTGCTGGGATTACAGGCAGGTGCCACTATGATTGGTTTGAGGATGTTTTTAAAGGAGACACAATTTGCCCTATAACATTCATAGATTTAATGGTTCATTTCTGTGCTTTTAGTCTGTGAGTCCGTGCATCTGTCCTTATGGCACTACCAAACTGTTTTGATTATTGTAGCTTTGTAGCATATTTGGAAATTAGGAAGTGTGAGCTCTCCAACTGTTATTTTTTAAGATTATTTGAGCTATTCAGGGCTCCTTGCAAATCCATAATAATTAAAGATTGCATTTTCCATGTCTGCAAAAAAGATTGTTGAGATTTCTTTAGTGATTGCATTTAAACTGGAGATAGCTTTGGGTAGCATTTAATATTTATACAATCTGAAGAGAACAGAGTATTCCAGCAATGTTTTGTAATTTTCCATGTCCAATTCTTGAACTTTCTTCATTAAGTCTATTTCTAGGTGCTTAATTTTTGTAGAAGTTATTGCAAATGAATTGCTTTGTTTTCGTGTGTGTGTGTGTGTGTGTGTGTGTGTGTGTGTGTGTACTAAGATGGAACCCAGGGCCTTTGCACAGAGTTTTTATATTTATTTATTATTACTTTGAACTAAGCTTTTGCTGAGTCACTAAGTTATACTGGCTGGGCTTGAGCTTATGATCCTTCTATCTCAGTGTCCCAGAGTGGTAAGGTTGTAGTATGCCAGCAGGGCTAAGACAGATTGATTTTCAAATGTTGAAATGCCATTAATTTCCTAATATAAATCCCTGGACTTGATTGCTGTTATTTCTGAGGCTGTTTGTATTATATTCATAAAGCTTATTGGCCTGTACTTTCCTATCACTTGGCTTTGGTATCATGGTAATGCAGGTCTCATGGACATTTTATCTCCTTTTTAAATTTTTGAGGAGAATTTGTAAAGCATTTTTTTCTTTAAATGTTTGGTATAATTCACCAAAGAAGCCACCGGCTCCTGTGCTTGTCTTTTTTTTTTTTTTTTTGTCTTTTTGAGACAGACTCTCTCTATGCAGTTCAGACTGGCCTTGAGCTCACTTTGTAGCCAAGGCTCGTCTTGAACTTCAATGATCCTCCTGCCTCAGCCTCCTGAATGCTGGGATTACAGGCATGAGCCACAATGCCCCTCTCCAGTGCTTTTTTTTTTTTTGTCTTTTTCGTTTTTTATCGGGTACCGAGGATCGAACTCACGACTGCCTGTTTGCAAGGCAGGCACTTATGCCGCTGAGCTAAATCCCTAGCCCCATTCAGTGCTTTTCTTTATTGGTAATTTTTTTTTTTCTGTCTTTTTGAGACAGGGTCTCACTATGCAGTTCAGGCTGGCCTTGAGCTCACTTTTGTAGCCCAGGCTGGTCTCGAACTCACAACAATCCTCCTGCCTCAGCCTCCTGAGTGCTGGGATTACAGGCGTGAGCCACCACGCCTGGCTATTGGTAATTTTTTGATTGGTGATTCAATGTCTTTACTTTTGATGTCTATTGAGACTTTCTATTTCCTACAGAATTAGTGTTATTTATGTGTTTTTGGGAATTTGTCCATTTCATCTAAGTTATCAATTTGTTGACATATTCTTTTTTTTTTTTTTTTTTTTTGGAGACAGGCTGTCCTCAATTTCTCAGCGATCCTCCTGCCTCAGCCTTTGAGTGCTGGGATTATAGGCAGGCATACCACATCCAATTTCATATAATTGTTAATAGTTTTCATTTATAATCCTTTTTATTTCTACCATGGTGGCTTCCCTCATGCTAGGCAAGTGCTCTATCACTGAGCTACATCCCCAGTCCTCAGGCTGACTTTTGGGCTTGATTATAATTCCACGTCCAATCTCTACATATATCCACAATGTCCTCCCCATTTGACCTTTGACATCTAACCCTTCGATCATAATTTTGATTTTGTTGACCCTAACATCTGTCTGCTGCCTTGGACTCCGAAGACTTGTTGCCTGACATCTGACCTTGATCCCCACCCCAACTCCTGACCTGCCCTTGACTGTGGATGACCCTTGACCTCTGATTTTGGCAGCTACACGTTTGGCAAAGTACAGGGCAACAGCGACCTCTACTGGAAAGCACAACGCTACAGCCTCATCCGGGAATTCCATTCTCGGCCTGCGCTGGCCCCGCCCTTTATAGTCATCTCCCACGTGCGACTTCTCATCAAGCGTCTGCGCAGGAGCCGCCGGTCCAGCATACCTCCCTCTCCCGCCTTCGAGCACTTCCGTGAGCACAGAAACCTGGCCCTCAGTGGGCGGGGCTGGGGAGAAAGATAAATAGGAGAGAGTCGGGTGTGGAAGGAGGCCCCCAGGACCAGTGGGCGTAGCCAGTCTGGGCGGTGCTGCTCTGGGACCGCCCAGGGGCGGGATCTGAAGCGCACTGGGGACGCAGCGGGAGTGGGCGCTCCCAAGCTGCAGGGGGCCTTTGACTCTTGGACCCGCCTACCAGGTGTGCGTCTCTCGAAGGAAGCCGAGCGGACACTGCTGACGTGGGAGTCAGTGCAGAAGGAGAGTTTCCTGCTGGCCCGTGCGCGGAACAAGCGGGACAGCGACACTGAGCGACTGAAGCGAACGTCTCAGAAGTGAGGGCGGGGCCGGGGGCGGGGCTTCTGGCCATGGGCTATTCCCTGACCAGCAGGGAGGAGTCGGGGGCGGGGCTTGCTAAGGGACGGTGGCGTGGGTGGGTGGGGCTTCTGGGTGGGCGGGGCCGCCAGCCTGAGGGGCGATTTTCCTAGGGTGGACACAGCACTGAAGCAACTGGGGCAGATCCGGGAGTATGATCAGCGTCTGAAGGGGCTGGAGCGGGAGGTGAGGCATGGGGCCTGGCCGGGGGGTTGTGGCAGGGATCCAGGTAGTGGGGTTCCCTTCTGCCCGGGTGTCTCTCCTACTCCCCAGGTCCATCACTGTAGCCGTGTCTTGGAGTGGGTGGCCGAGGCCCTAAGCCGCTCTGCCATGCTGCCACCAGGTGGGCCACCGCCCCCTTCCAGGCCTGGGTCCAAAGGTCAGTGTGTAACGCTGTCAGTGGCTCCTTTTCGGTCACTGACCTCCCTTGTCCCTGGTCCTTCTCTGGTCTCCTTTATGCCATCTCTGCTGCTTTTTCTGGGTTTCTTTGTTTGCCAGTCTCCTGTTGTTTCTCTTCCTCTGTCACTTACTGGAGAGGTGACTTCTCTTCTCTCTTCCCTGCAGACTGAATGCTGCTGGTCTTCACAGAGTGGCCCCCAGTGTCCTGCCCTAGATCAAGGCCCTGATGGGGCCACCTCTGTGCCTTGTCTCTCAGCTGGACCCTAGGCTCCTGGACCATAGTGGGGACACCTTAGGAAGTGTTGCCCATGCGAGCCACAGCAGGCCCGGCTCCTCCCAGTACCAGCCCCACTCTGGGAGGATCAGACTGCAGCCCGAGCTGCCAGTCCTTGGAGGATCCTGCCCCAAGTGGGGGACACAGGAGGGTCCTTGGGGACTACTGACAGGGACCACTGACCTCATTCCTAGCTTCCCCACACTGGGGAAATAAAGCCTTTGAGATCAGTAGTGTCTGGCTGTTTGATCCTTGGGGAACTGGTGGGTATCTCATTTATTTTGTGAGGGCCTGGAGCTAGGTAGGGAGTCCTGGGACCTTGGTGGCTTCAACTTGGGTGTCTGTCACTTCTCCTGCCCAGCAAAAACCCCAGCATTTTGTCTGTACTGTTCTTTTGGTCCCCACTTCAGAGGGCAGGAATCTATCTTAGCTCCCATTTGCTCTGTTTCCCTGGGGAAAAATAACTTACTGATAATCAGCAGATTATTTCCTGGAGAGAGCTGGGTGGGTGGGTGCTGGATACATCTGCCTGGCACTAGACACACAAATGATGCAGATTTGAGGAGATAAATGCATATGTGTCTTTAAAAAGTCTAATTAGTGGAAAATTGCAGGCCACGCACACATGGAGTTGAGGCAGATATGCATCATTATACATGCAATTTAACTAAATAACCCATAACAGTCTAAACTGGTAATGACAAGGCTGAACTGACAGCAATTATTAGTTAAATGGCAAGAAAGCCACCAACAGCCAACACATCCCAAAATCCAAACCAAAACATCTTTCCTCCAAATTGGAAGCTTTCCAACTGGCTGCCTTTTCGGGTGCACAGTAGCTTTGAAACACTGCCAAGAATTGTGTGACACCCAGACTTCTCCTGGAAACCCTGAATCATGGTAATGAGGATGGCAGGTTTTGCAGCAGCAGTGATATGGCGGAATGCGTGCTCTGTGTCTGACTTCGCTTACACATATGAAACCAATGAGTTCTGATAACCCTATGAAGTACTTTCTTTTTTCTTTGAGATTATGTAGTTCAAGTTGGCCTTGAACTCACTATGTAGCCCAGGCCGCCCTCTAACTGTGATCTTCCTGCCTCTGCCTCCTGAGTGCTGGGATTATAGGTGTGTGCCACCATGCCCCACCAAAATAAAAAATTTTCAAAAGGGCTGGGGAATGTAGCTCAGCACAAAGGCCCTGGGTTCAAACCTTGGTACAAACAAAACAAATGGGACTACATGCACACACAAATACTAAATAATTCTAGAAGTTTATATTAAGTCTTGTCTTCATATAGGACCTATATATGTTTATGAGATAGCTATGTAATGTGGGAAAGGAGATACTCAGACCCTTCAGGGATTAGATCCTGGTTTTGGGGGTACACAATTGTGGGAGACCAGAGGATTGAGGCCTAATTGACTTCCTTTGTGAGCACCAAGGATAAAAGCAGCATGCAGAGGTGATGGCACTGCAGGGTCTAGGGAGAAGTCAATACAGCTGAGGCCTGGTTGTTTACCTGGGCCTGTACTGATGGAGGACTGCAGGCAAGAGAACCAGTGTTACTTTAGCTGCTTGTACTCAGGTCTGAATGAATAAAAGGATGAGCCAGAAGCTTGGGCTTCTCTGCCTGCTAGAGCCCCCTGGCTGCCCATGGACTAAACTGTATGTTTGTCTTTCATCCTTGTTTGCCCCCAGTTCAGGGTGACAAACTAGCAAGTCTGGGACCCTACAAGTGGTGCCTGGGTTGGGAAAGACCAAGTGGGTTCGTCCCCAACAGGTGAGGCCCTGGGCAGGCACGTGGAACCCGTGTAGACCAGTTTGCTACACTGGGGTTCAAACCCATGGAGCTACATTTCCTGTCCTGTTCATTTTCCTTTGGAACAGAGACTTGCTGAGTTCCCCATGCTGACCCTTAACATGCAGTCCTCCTGCCTCAGCTTCCAAAGTTGCTGGGACAGTGCCTGCCTTTGACACTGACTTTGAACCTACATCTGTGGGCCCAAATGCTACCACTGTGACTTACCAAAGTGAAATCGTGTGGTGGTTAGGGATAAGTGAAATTTTGATGCTGGGACTTTTGTCACCATGAGTGCCATGGAGCTAGACCCCACTCCTTATAGCTTAAAGTGTGAGACACATTCACCATCTGGGGAAATTGCCAGTTTTGTTCTTTGCCTATGGAGTGAGGGATGCTGTGACAGTGAGGGCCAAGAGAAGGTCCCTGGAACTTTCCTTCTCTACTAGCAAGAAATACACTGAGAAGACACAGGTGTGACAGTCATACATGTTAATTCCACACCGCTGTGTCCTATTCTGAAAGTGATGGGCCTCAGGGAAGGACTGCAGTGTAGCAAAGAGTTAGTCAAGGGGGGACTGTAGCTGTAATTGCTTTTTCAAGGTGGTTCCTTTGCTTGGGTGTTTTGAGTCACTCTAGCAAGTGACCAGACTGACACCCAAGTTTGAGTGGAGTCGGGTTAGCAGGAACTCTTTAAATCGAGCTCTGCCAGACCCTGCAGAGTAACAGCACTATGGTTGTCAGGGAAATGATGCACATGTCCAGATCCTCACTCCGCCTCCTGGCCCCTGGGCCGGTAACAATGTCAATTATCTCGGGCCCAGAAGTCTCATGGCCTCTGGCAATATCTATGAGCCAGCAGTGGACTGATTCGTGAGGAGGCAAAATAACATAGCAGACTCGGTAGTGTTGGCACAGAGGACTGTGGCAGGGGCAGGGCTTCCTGGAATAGGAAGCAAGATCCAGATGCCAAGGTTCAGGGTATGAGGCCACTCCCCAGGGCCCAGTAGGGAGTTCTGTCATCCACGTGGACGGGAACAGCCAGGAATGAGAATAGCCACTGTCCAACCTGTTGATGGGCTGGCTGCTTGTGGCTGGATGTATTGGAAAGGAGCCGACCCCAGGGGGCCTCCCTGGGCAGAGGAAGGGGAGTTATCCCACCTCAGCCTCCTGAGTGCTGGGATTACAAGGGTGAGCCACCACGCCCAGCTGAGAAAAGAAAAAGCTTTGACAGGCTTGGAAAGAGGGCAGAGGGCACTGCTGCTGCTCTGGGTCTCTGCCTCATCCAGTTTGAACCAGGGTGTCAGGGGCCAGAGAGCGGAGCCTGGTGGTGTGAGAGGGGCAGGAACAACCAGGTGCTTGTGGGATATAGGAAGGTGCAGGGCTGCAACTCTAGGCCTGGCGCTGCAGGGAGGAGCCAAGGGGAGCTAGGTCAAGCACTAGCCCTTGCTACTCACCCAGGCCAACCCACCTCTTTTTTGTGTGGTTTTTTTGTTTGTTTATTTGTTTTTGAGACAGGGTCTGCCTATATAGCCCAGGCTGGCCTTGAACTCATTATATAGCCAAGACTGAACTTGAATTGGGATTTTACAGGTGTGCACCACCGTGCCCAATTCGCTTCTGCTACAGAATGCAAATTTCATAAGCGCGGGTTGCCCGGATGCTCCGACCTCTAATGTTCCCTAATTTCGGGACTGTGAGGAGCTGTACCAGAAACAACCGACATCCCAGAAGGAAAGAAAATGATAGCTTTTGCTTTTTTTCTGTCGGAACCCTGGGAGCGTTGAGGTCCTCCTCCAACCGTTTTTATGTAGTTAATTTTGAGACAGGGTTTCTAAAGTTGCGGGATAATCAGAGGCCATTTCCCGGTACCATAGCGCCACCTGCCGGAGGCAGCTGTCCAGCGCACCCTCGGAAAATGCAGCCTACAAGACGTTCTGGAAAGGAAGCGCCTGCGGGGTGGAGGCCTCAACTGTCTGCTTTTAGGATGGGTCAACTCAGACTTGATGACCATAGGTCCGCAATGGTTAGATGTGCATAATATAGTGAAAAGCACAGCTGGACTGGTGCTCGTGTCGTCTGTTTTGGTGGCAGGTACTCCTTTGGAGAAAACGTTGCCCCGGTCTGCATTTCCCGAAGAAATGCCGCTGGCCCAATGGGCCCTCAATTCACAGAGGTTCCTTGAAATCCCTGGACCTGCCCGGCGATGGCAAAGGTTGGCTCTGTCCACTAGGGGACAGCAGGCAGCCCAGCCTGGCATTAACTCGGCAGACCTAAGGCAGTCACTATTTAAGGTATTCTAAGGGAGGTGAGCTTTCTGTGCTACGTGTTGGAAGAAGTCTCCTTAAAAATCAGCCAAGAAGAATGTCTAGTTCACCTTGCTCACTGCTTCCTAGTCTGCGCACCGACCACTGGTCGCTGAGTGCAGCAGTCCAAAGTGGGGCTCTGTTTCTTGGTTAATCACTAGGACCAAAGTGATGGGGTGTTTATAGACTCATTCTGGAAACACAGGGCCCTATTGCTCCTAGGAGAGATGCGCTTTTCCTCACACTGGACACCCTGGCCCCTGCACCCTGTGGACCAGGTAAGAGGCTTAGACTTGGTTCTGGGGGGAGTCATCAGAACTTTCTTGTTGCAGTGACCTAAGTCTAGGTCAAGCATCAGCATACTACAACCCACGGGATAAATCCAGCCTATGACCCATTTTTGCATGGTCCACAAGCTAAGAATGATTTCTGTATTAAGATTTATATATAAAAAAGATGAATACGCAACAGAGACCATATGTCCTGCAGATCTCAAAGTATTAATTATCTGGTCCTTAATAGAAATTGTGCTGACTCCTATCAAAGCCAGCACCACTGATGCAGCATACATCTTAACCAAGAAAAGCACTGGAGATCCAAATCAAGTCCAACAACAAAACTGGTGTGATTGTGTCTTTTGAGGTTATACATATGTACACTGGAAGTTAGGCTATGGGGACATGGGGTGGCTTTTGGGCCCATCCAGTATCAGCTTGAAACCAATGTAATGACCCTAAAGACCAGCAGGTCTAAACTTACTTAAGAATGTCCTAACAGAGAATGGAACAACCCTAGATGATATCATAGCCACCTAAAATAAATAAGATTTGCCTCTTTGGGACATTTTTGCCCGCAGGTTGAATCTGGGCCCCTTGGATTATGGTTGAGGTTGGCCTCATCCTGCTGCTTGGGGTCCTGGTGAAAGTCATGTGCCTCTTGCCTCTGTGTGTGTGTGTGTGTGTGTGTGTGTGTGTGTGTGTGTGGTACTGAGGATGGAACCCAGGGCCACTGGAGACTGTGACTCTCTGTTTTCTATTGGCCCCTGTCACTCTCTGGCTGCCAGCTATTTTCAGTGACTTGTTCTAGCCACTTGCCACTCTTAGCACTAGCTTCCCTTCGTGATGCCAGCACCACAGGTGGGACTTGAGACAGAAATTCCAAGAAGGTAGGGACATGCCATCTGGAAGAGGCTTCACTGTATACGATCAGTGTTGTAGCATAGCGGGGAACAGGGCCTGGATTGGCCCAGGCTGACCTGTGGAAGTTGCTTATATAGGGTGAGCATGGTAGGGGAGGAACCACAGAAGGGCAGAGTCAGCTGTGAGGACTCTGTGAGTGCTGCCTGCTGCAGCCGAAGTAAATATTTCCCGGAATGGCCATGTAGTGCCTGGTGCAGTACAAACCAGCCGCGAAACATTTGGGGTGAATAAAAGTCCCTTCAGGGGAGTGGAGCCCCTCATCCTGACTCACTGTTGGATGTGCTGTGACTGTAAAATCCTGGTCATTCTCCCTTTACCACTGTTTATGCAGCTGGCCACCGTAAGAGAAGAGGCAAATCTCCCCCCACACAGAGGGAGGGACTTGCCTGTGGCTTCCTGTACAGCAGTGGATTCTCATGGCTCCCTGTGTGCTCGGGCATCTCATGCTGCCCTGTGGGTGCTGTGGACAAGGGAGCCAGTAGACCTGCCAGAGTTCATGTGCTTGCTGCACTGGGAGTAATGAAGTCCTTTTTCTCTCACCTGGGAGTCTTGTGTTTTCTGCATATTTATAACATAGGAACAGGCTTACTTAGTAGCTTGAAAATAAGGTAAAATCACATCCCCGATCTGGGCAAGTAGCCATTAGAGGTAAAGATGGTTCTGCTTCCCTGCATACTCAACCATGGGGTTACCGGAGCTTTACCTGCAAAATGTGACTCCTGAGAAGTCAGTACTGGTCACCAATGGAACGACTTGCTTCCGAGATGAGCAGATCCTGTGGCGCCCTTATGCCACCTGCCGTGATGGTGATGAGTTGCCAACTGTCCGTGCCTTTGCTGCTCTGCTCCTTAGGCTGTGATGTGCACTGTCTTGGGACTTACTGAAATAGGCTTTTAATCAGAAGAAGTACAGAAATCTGATCACAAATGGTTTACATTTAAAATGTCACTAAAAGGCTGATGCTCAGAGTTGGAGCCTTTGAAAGGTAGACCAAAACACAGGTGCCATGCTCATCATGGATTAGTCAGCTGTGCAGTCTGCAGGTGGCATCTGGTGGGAAGAGGCTTGTCATGAGGGGCTGCCTTTGGAAGGCAGATCTCCTTCCTAAGCCCCTGGTTGCCATGAGGTGAGGACCCTTCCTCCATCATACCCTTCCACTTTGGAGCCAGCTGAGCATGGACTGAATCCTGCAAACCTGAGCTAAATTAAATCCTTTTTCTCTGAAGTTGTGAGTGTCAGCTATTTTGTTTCCAACAAATACAGAAAATTGGTACCAGAGAAAGAGGGGAGAGGACCCTGTCACCTTATTTGACTTGATTGATTTACTGGTTTGTTGAGACAGGGTCTCACTGTGAAGTTTAAGACAATCCTGAACTCACTATGTAGCCTAGGCTGGGTTTAAATTTGTAGCAATCCTCCTGTCTCAGCCTTTGGAGTACTGGGATTACAGGCATGAGCCACCACAGCTGGCTTGACCACATAGTTTAGAAGCCTTTGAAACTAATTTGTGAAGGGAGTTTAGAAAGGTTTGGAGGTGCCAGCTAGAGAGGCCCTAGAATTCTGTAAGCAGAGTTTTATGGTGATTCTGGCTGGAACTCAAAAGACCAGACTTCTGATAGAAATGCAGACAGTAAAGGCCAGGCTCAGGAGGGGATGGCCAGAAAAAAAAAAAAAAACTTCCATTGGCAGTTGAACTACAGGCCATGTATGCTACACTATGGTAGAAAGTTTTTCTGCATTTTGACCATGTTCTGAGACTTTGTGGGAGGCTGAGATTAAGGGCAATAGACTACAGATATTCTTCATTTTAATGACTTGAGTCCCAGTCCTGTGACAGGGTTATTAAATGAAGACTTGTCTTCATTACTTTACTTGTTGCTGAGAGAAAATATTTGACTGCCAAAGTTAAAGGAAGGGAAGTTTATTGTAGCTTACAGTTTGTAGAGGTTTCAGTTCATAGTTGGCTGGCTCCAACACGGGTGGCAGAGGGGGACTTCAAAGAAATAGTCCGTGGCCAGCAGGCAGGGGATAGCAAAGCAGCAGGCAGCAGCAAGCAATGAGCAGTGACAACAGCTGCCCTCTTTCCGTCCTTTATATTCCACCCACCCAAGGTGGGGCACCCTTAGTCCTAGCGTGAATCAATCCCAGTATCACGTGCTCTATATCCAGCTAAGTGGACCTCTGAAGAGGTCCACTTATGACCTCATGGGGCTTTGGAGGGACATCTAGATACAAGCCATGACAGGTGCTAAATGAGGCATTGTATGTAGTATATACCTTACAATATTCAGAATGAAGAAACTATCAAAATAAACTCCAAATTAATGACTTTTCTTTTATTTACATAATTCTTTCATGCAGTGATGTAATATAGAATAGAACATAAAACTATAGTATGGTACTATAAAAATCAATCTGCAAAAATTACAGCTCTGTATAAACAAGGTATACTGTAAAAAAGAGACACTGAGACTCTATCAACAAGATACACAGAATTGTATAAAAACATGGCACCCGCCCTGGTCAGGAAGAAGGAAGATGTCCTATAGGGACTGTCTAAATAAACTCCAGGAGTGTGGGGGCCAAAACACCTACAGAAGGTTCAGGTGTGCCTCCTGGGAGTATGACTCAAGGATGCAAAAGAGAGAGAGAATATCCTTTAGGTGAGGAGCTCTGGGGTGACCAGTGTTCTCTGTGGAACAAAAGGCCTTGAGTCCAAAAGTTCATGGCTTTTATTGGTATGGATCCAGGATGGGGCAGCAGAGTGCTGGGGAAAAGAAACTTTGCAGGCATCAGCTGTAATGAGAAACAAAGCAGTTTTATACCAGGTACAAATGCCTCCAATCAGCAATACGGCAAAGAGCTTGGTATATGCAAGGCTGGCACCTTTACTGCCAGATTCTCTCTGAGTCCCAGGGCCTCAGCTGAGATGTTGTCTCATGTGTTAACCCTGGAATCTGACAGGCTTGAACCCCCTTCCAGCCATCAGCGGGTGGGAGAAGGGCAGTTCTCACCCACATGATACACCGAGACATCTTGGTATCTTGGCTGGACAAGATCACATTTTTGAGCCAGTGAAGGGAACATCTGGTCTAATATAGCCAGCTCTGGCTATCTCAGTGAATAGGGCTGAAGGAGAGGTCCTAGGGAGAGATCCAGGCAAGGGGCTTCATTTCTCAGCAGAGCACAGATTCTTCAGTGTCTACCTGGACATCTCCTGGTAAGTCACCATGCAAATCATTTGTGAAGGCAGAAAGAGCCAGGGCCCTGGGGGTTCACCTTCTGAGACATAGCCCATGCTGCCCTGCTTGGATTCTTCCTGTGGAGGCTGACAGGGCTCAGCATGCAGCAGATGTTAGGACTGGCCGGAATCTGTGAACTATGAGGTCTGCAGAGGGCCTGCTGCCTGGCAGCATCAGAGAAGCTTCTGCCCGTTCTTTGCACATATAAATTCACTTCTATTCGGGGACAGCAACCAATGATGGGAAAGGGAGATGGAAATATTCACCAGTCTTTAAGACATTCTCAGAGAATTTTACTTTGGAGTCAATGGATACCTTCTTTTCCTCTGATTTTCTACCAGCAGCACTTTCATTCAAAAGGTGGCAGGAGAGGCCCTGAAGTTCTTTCCATTTTCCACAGGAACTGAAAGCATGTAGTTTAATCCATATTATTGACACTTTTTTTTTCTTTTTATGTGGCAGTGTGTCAAAGTACATGAAATCCTTAGGTGATGAGAGTCTTTATATTTTCCTACCCAGACACTCTGCTGAAATGCCTCAAACTTCTTTCGTCCAGTCACAAAGGAAGCACGTGCACATTGGCAGATTCTACGTCCTTGGATATTCAGGATCCAGGGAAGAAAGTCAGGGTGTCCTGCTTCCAGGATTCCACGCAGTGTTCGAGCAGGGTGGTTCCCAAGACACAGAGCAACCTAGTTCCAGGCATCTTGAGGTCTCCTAGTTCAGGGAAAAGGAAAGGAGGTCCATCGGAGTGTGGTCCAAAGCTGTGTCTGTGGTCTTCCTGCACACTTGCACTGTATGTTCTCTGCATGGTGGTGGGAAGAAATAAACCTCTCAGGGTTTTGTGATGACTAGTAGATGAATCAAAGGTGGTTTGGTTCTCACAGCCACTGCAGGTGAGCCCACGTGACAGGAACCTTCTGTTTTGGAAGCGAGGGCAGCCAGATTCACTCTCCTTATCCCCATGCTTAACAGGCTCAGACATGCAGGCCACAGCCGTCACTTTCCCTGTGCCTGAGCTGGAAGTCTTTGTGACTTAGTGGGTTCAACTCTGCTTCCCTCGGGTCCTCTGGGGGATGCCTGCTTCGCCTTGAGGACACAGCTGTACTGCTAAGCACAGGGCTGGCGGTTCATCAGTGAGGGACAGAGGCCTCCAGTGCCACTGAGGCTGTGACAGGGGAGAAGGAAGCCTGAGAAAGAAGGGGCCTGATGGTTTCCCTGTCAAGTTCTTTTGAGGAAACATACTCAGTAGTTTTTTCACCTCTTCCTCAGCATTTCATGTTTCACTATGGAAAAACACAAGGCAGCGCAGAGAATCTGCTTCAATTCCTGCCTCTTGTCTTGGGCTTTCCAGACAGGTTCGGTTTTATGATTTTTGATTCTTTTTGTCTTTTTATTTTTTATCGGTACCAGGGACCAAACTCATGACCACACACTTGCAAGGCAGGCGCTTATGCTGCTAAGCTAAATCCCCAGCCCCCATGATTTTTGATTTCGCTCAGAGCCTCAGAGTCTTTTTCCCTCTCAGCAAGGACCTTGATTCTGGCTCCACGCACTTGTAGCATACTCTGTACTTCAGCCCCGTATCATGGAAACTTATGGATAAGGGTTTGTTTTCCAGTGTCTAGTATTTTCTTCAGAAATGTGTCCCTACAAGTGACTCAGTCTTTGTCTTCTTTCTCAGCCTTATAGGCTCTGGTAAGCTGGTCCTTGGCGGTGGTCTCCCTGATCTCGAAGAAGGCTTTCTTCCGGAACACACCCTACTTGGATGTCTTCTTTTTTTTTGGTCATTTTTTTTTTTTTTTATCGGTACCAGGGATCGAACTCATGACTGCCTGCTTACAAGGCAGGCGCTTATGCCGCTGAGCTAAATCCCCAGCCCCTTGGATGTCTTCTTAATGAGGCCTCAAGTTTACTTCAGCTGCAATAGATCTGCTTCTCTGATTTTTACCCTGCAGCGGATTTTCACAAAGGATGCGGTAACGGCACACGGGCAGTCACATCCCTCCAGTGCCTGCTTACTGTATCTGGGTCCTGGGGCCGGGAAGAAGCAGCCTCAGGCTAATGGGAGCCTTCTGCAGCGAGTTCTGCCCTCTCCGACCCAGTCCCTGGCCAGCATTTCCTCGTTTCATCCTTTCACGGCATTTCTGTTGAACCGCGTACTGTTCTGCTGCATTTTACATTTGAAAATAAGTGGTGTGTTTGACCATCTTCTTGAAAAAAAATTTTTTGGGGGCTGTTTGAGACAAGGTCTTGCTATGTGGTTCAGACTGGCCTTGGGCTCACCTTGTAGCCCAGGCTGGTCTCAAACTCACAACAATCCTCCTACCTCAGCCTCCCAAGTACTGGGATTACAGTTGTGCGCCACCATACCTGGCATATTTGAATATTTTATAAAAAATAAAAAAGATGGGCTAGAGTCTGAGCAGTGGGCTGTAAGTCCAAACAGTCCTTAAATAGAGAGGTTGTTTAATGAATGTGTCTGTAATTAATCTGGTGGAGAAAACTGTTTTTTAAACACTTCAAGTATTTATTGTTGACCCACGTGTGCTGAACACAGAAAAAGATTCCTGACTAAGCATGTTCAATTGTCCAGCCAATGGTGTTTTTAAACTTGATGTGGTGATATAATCTTGACCAGGATACAGAAGGTATCTTGTGGCCTCTGAAAGAGTAAAAATGCTACAGATCATGTGAAACCACTCATAGTACCAGCCCGGTACTCCTCCAGTGGCTCCTCTTGGAATTCCACCTGATTTTATTAGCAGTCTTCATCAAATCCACTGAGGAATGGGATGATTCTGCTTTTGCAGAATCACTTGGTTCTGAAAGTCTCGTGAGAAGACCTGGTTAGACTCAGAGGCAAGAAGATGCATATGGAGGCAGACAGAGGCAAAAGATCTAGAGAAAATTTCAAGACAGCTCCACATTCATGATGTGGCATGAGCATTGCTGGCTTCTTTTAGCCAGACTTATAGTGACAATTGGGTCCAAAACGCAGAGCAGATAAATTTTAAAAACTTAAATTTTGGACCAGAAGGACTAATGTATAAAGTTGGAGCCAGATGAGGTAGGACTGCAGGAGAAATTAGTGCCATTAAAGAGGAACAACGTACTTTGTACAAAGATAAGAAGAAGATGCAAGACGGCATTTCAGGAATTGGCAAGACTGCACCCATCATAGGCTCTAAGGTGCAAACCTTTCATCTGAGAAGAGAATCTTTGGGCACCCTGCTTGAGAAGGGCAAGTTAGGGAATTGGCTTTCCAGAATTCTCTTCACCATGCTCAACTATCCTAATACTCAGTGACCACTACAGCCATGGCCCAGCAGGGCCTGGTTATTACCCACACCAGTGGCAGACCTTGACATTGTTCATGTGATGCTGGTTTTATTGGCACGCAGAATGGATGAGTTCTGGGGTCGTGAAGACTTACACCCAGATTTTGAAAGAAGACCTGAGAGGCCAAGCAGTGATCTAGGAAGCTGTGAGTGAAGTTGAAGGTGCACTGGAAATGTGGAGGTGCCAGGAATGTGGAACATCTGTTGAGGAAAACTGCAGAGAGTAAACCATGCTGAGAGAGACAGAGAGAAAGAGAGACACTGGGACCATGTGGGCTGCAACTAGTAAGACCATAGGGGTGAGGCTGCCCAGGCGCTTTGAAGCTCACATCTGTCCACAACCTTTTCCAGGTGCCAGTATGGAGCTACACAGGCTTTCATGTTTTCTTTTTTTGTTTTCATCTTGCTGTGGTCCGATTTCTTCTGTCCTCCTAGTCCTGCCTTTTGGATTGGGAATGTGTAGCCTGTGCCATTGTCCTTGAAACTGTGTAACTTGTTTTTAAGTTTCACAGCCAAGTGTTTGCTTAGAGTTTCAGAGGAGGCTTTGGACTATTTATTTGAGACAAGGTCTTTTTATGTAGTCCAGGCTGCCCTTGAATTTGCTATGCAGGGATCCTTCTGTTTCAGGCTCCCAAGTGCTGGGATTAAAGGTTATGTCATTGTGCCCAGCAGGACTTGGAACTGTTAAAACTTTGTTGGCTCTTAGAAATGGACTAAATGCATTTACATAGTAAGATGGATGTCAGCCTTTTGGTAACAGAATGTTACAGTTTAGATCTAAACTATCTTCCAAAAGTCTTCTGTTTGGTGTTGGGGCTTTTGGAAGGTGGGTTGGTTATAGGGGTGCTATATTCACTCATGGATTAATCCAAAGATTAGTTCATAGTTCATTAGTTCATGCTGTTTGAGTTGGGGGCTGGGAAGAAGAGTGTGTCAATGGAGGTGTGTCTTTGGAGGGTAGATTGCCCTGTATGGCCCCACATTTCTCTCTCTGTTTCTTGGCTTCCATGAAGTGAGGACATTTCCTCCACCAGGGCCTTCCACCATGATGTTTCTGCCTTGGAGCCAGCTGACCACAGACTGAATCCTCCAAAACTATGAGCCAAAATAAACCTCTCCTTCTTTAAACTGCAAGTTACAGGTCCCCACTCTGAGCTCTAGGCACCCTGAGGGATTGCCCATGGCACAAGAGAACCATGAAAGGACAGGTAGGAAGTGATTTCCCTACTCTCTGAGCTTTGAGTCATCTTAGTTTAATTATAAATAGAATCATATATTTTGTTTATTGAACTTAGAGTCTTGGGGAAAACTGCTTGAACAATTTTAAGAGTTTGGGTGTTAACTTTATTTTTGTTTGTTTGGGTTTTCTGGTAATGGAAATTGAACTCAGGACTTTGCATTTGCCAGGCTGGTGCTTCCAGGAATTAGGAGGCTGAGGCAGAAGGCTTGCTACAAGTTCAAAGCCAGCCTGGACTACATAGCAAGCCCTTGTCTCAGCAAACAAACAAAAAACAAAACCTCCCAAAACAAACAAACAGATATTCTTCATTAAATGAATGAATGAATGAAATGGTATTTGGGGGCTCTGGAGGAAGCAGCTGCCTTTGGTAACTTCCCAGAAGAGATGACATTTCATCTAAGGGTGAGCTGGGAATGAAGCAGATGGGAAAAGGCAGGAAGTTGCTGCAGACAGGGGAGCTGTGTTCAAAGGGTGCAGAGAGGGCCTTGCTTTCCAAGCCTGACATGGTGGTCCCAGTGACCACTACTGGACAGATCTGATGGGGACGTCACAGGGAGAGCTAGGGTTGGCCCTGGGCTGTTGGGGAACCATGGAGAGGGCTTGGAGCAGCGAAGAGTCAGGGCAGGAGGAGAAGCTGGATGGAGAAATGAAAGTGGGAAGGTTCTACATGGGCACTGGAGACCTGGATTCTATTTCCTGTGAGACAGTCAGGGTCACCTTGGGACAGAAGTTGCCAGGGACATTTTGGGAGGTTAGGGCTCTGCCCATCATTTCTGGCAGAGGAAGGTAGGCACAAGACTGCCGGGTAGCTGACAGATCTGTAGCCTTCGAACATGGGTGGTGGTGCCAGCTACAGCCCTGTTATAGGGCAGCTTTTCTTCCATCTTCTCGTGCCTGTCATCACTGACCATGGGTGTCCCCTGTTGTGTGGGGTGATGTTCATGGAGAACAGGGAGATCTCCAAGGCAGGGCAAACTGGGAGGAGCTCTTGCCATGCCTGCTCAGGGGCAGGAGTGGGTGCCGGGGCCAGGGTAGGCTGAACTGCTTCAGTCAGGTCTTCTGGGTTTGGTGCTGGGAAGTGAGGTTGGTTTTCCTCATGGGGTGCTTGAGCCGCTCTGTGGTCTTGGCAAACACTGTGGTTCATTCTGCCCTCCGAGTGCCACCAGCGGTAAAGTGGGTAGACCCAGGCAAGGAAGGCAAGCAAGGTGACCCCGCCAAGGCTGCTCTGTGGGTAGGGCTGCCTGACTTCCTGGCTCTGGGGACAGAGAAAAGGGTGTGGGGTTTCAGCTCCTTTGGGTGCAGCTGGGAAGCTGGGTAAAGGATGCCTGGGGCAGTTGGGCACCAAGATCCAGAAACCTGTAGGGTGCAAGAGCTAACCGAGGCCTCCAGAGTCGTATGGGGGCCTCACCACACTGTATTCCAGCCAATGTAGTAGACAGCCGGCCAGAAGCAGAGATGCAGAAGGCACACAGTGAGGAGGGCCAGGAGCCCGAGCAATGTCACTTATGTGAAGGCCCAGGGGTGTTACAGTAGGCCAGCTTCCTGGCTGAGCAGCTCCTGCTTGAACCTGGGCCAGAATCATCAGTCAGGGAGCTCTGGGGCCTGGGCCCTGGCAAGGATGGGTCTCTGTCTTATAGGCACCCCCTGGTGGGAACCCCTCAATCATGGGGTCAGCACCATTCCCTCGTGCTGCCCCATGTCACTCTGCCACTCCTCTGAGGATCCCCTTCCTGCTCTGTTGCTCTTTGTCCCCTCCTCTCTAGCGCAGGCAAACTTTTCAAGACTACCTTTGACCTCCAATCCAGCTTCCTCATAGACTTCAGTGTAGCCACATCTGCTTCTGCCTACTGCTTATCTGCCTGAGAGGCTTTCTGGGAAGCCTCACCTTTACCAGTCAGCCCGGCAGCTACATCCTCTCTTTGTCTGATGACAACCTGGTCCCTCTGACCCTCATCATCATTGTGACATTCCAGAATGGGGCTCTGGTCTGGATCTATGGAGCCAGAAGGTGATGTATAAGCCCCAGGACTTCCAAGGCAGGAAGCTGGCCTACTGTAACACCCCTGGGCCTCCCAGAGTGCTAGGATTACAGGTAGGCACCACCATGCCTGGCAGATTTTATATTTTCTGTAGGTAGTATTTCTCCGTGTTTTGAGGTAAATTATGTTTTGTCTTAGTTACTTTTCTCATTGCTGAGACAAAATACCCAAGACCCACAAGTTAAGGGAGGAAAGGATTATTTAGCTTACAGTTTGTAGAGGTTTCAGTCCATAATCAGCTGGCTCCATGGTTGGGTGGGTGGCTGAGGGGACATCACAGAGGAGAAACAGCCCATGGCAGGCTTCTTTCTGTTCCTTATATCTTATCCAGGCTACTTAGGGCAGGTAGCACTCACATCTTTAATCCTAGTGCCCTTGATCCTACATTCTATCATGAGTCAACTCCAATGCTGCACACTCTGGATCCAACCACCTTTGAAAAAACCCCACTTAAGACTGCGTGAGGCTCTGGGGGGACATCTAGATGCAAGCCATAATATCTCTGCACGGTTTCTGTGTCGAAGTCCTAATTCTCAGTACCTCAAAAACATGGCCTAGGGTCACTGCATATATAATGAGTTAAGATGAGGTCACTGTGCAGTGGATAGGCCCTCCTCCATCTGATGTCCTTATAGAAAAGGGACATGTGGACACCGATATGCACATTTCAGGGGGACATCAGGTGAAGAGGAAGACAGAGAATGGGATGACAGTTGTACAAGCTGAGGAATGTCAAAGACTGCTGGGAGACCACAAGAAGCTGGAGGGGGGCTGGGATGCTCCCTTAGAAGAAACTAACAGACAATTCAATAGACATTCATTAGATGCACATGGCTACTGAAGTTCAGATTAAAAAAACTTTTTGATCTCATCTCAGCAGCGGTAGAAAAAAATTTTTGAGACAAGGTCTTGCTATGTAGCCCAGGCTGACCTTGAACCCACTATGTAGCCCAAACTGGCCTCAGACTCATGGAGATCTTCATGCTTCAGTCTATCACGTGCTGGGATTATATCACATCTACCAACAAGCTTTATAAAACTGAAAACTCACTGGTTGTGGTGGCACATTCCACTAATTCTAGCATTTAGGGAGCCTGAGGCAGAAGGATCATTAAGTTTGCCCAGTGATCTGAATACACTTCCAATAGTTTCAAGAGAGAAAAACAGCAAATGGAGGAAGTTCTGTTGTACATATTTCTCATTTGTAAGGAGCTTTAATTTTTATGAATAGGGATTGAATTTGTCAAATGGTTCTTATGTGTAAAAGCAGTGAATTAAATGACTGAATTAATTTCTGGGCAAACCCACCCGTTACTAATGTATACAGTGAAGGGTTTGCTAATGATTCTTTTCATCTGTGTGCTGCTTGGTAATTTTCTTAGAATGCCCCTTAAGTGCCTGAGTATCAGGTAGTTATTATGGCCTCAAAGAGACAGTTGAGAAGTATTTCCCTCCTTTAGCATCCAGGAAGTATACTGGGTTCCTTCTTGCTAGACCAATTCTCAGTGTATCCATGGAAGACAATTTCCTTTGTGACAAGGTTTTAAATTATTCACTTAATTTTTAAACTCAGGAATGGGGGTATTTCGATTTCAAGTGTCGATTTTGATAATTTGTGCCTTTCAAGAAGTTTCTCTATTTCCTCTGAGTTGTTGAAGTGATTGCTATCTGCTTGATCACACTATTTACTATTCTGTCAATGTTGGCAGGAACTATAGTGGCTTGTTTTGGATAGGGTCTTGCTTTTAGTCCAAGCTGGCCCAAAACTCACTGGAAGCTCAGGCTGGCCTTGAACTCATGATGTTCATGCCTCAGCCTCCCAAGTGCTGGGGTTATAGATCTGTGCCACCATGCAAAGCTGTAGTGATTTTTAAAATTTGTATTTTTTCTTTTGTATCAGCTCTTAAAGGGAAATGTTCAATATTTCCAATGCAATCTCTGATTACAGACATCAGTTTTTTCAGTTCCAAAAAATTTCTTCTTCTCTCTTCCTCCTCTTTCCCTTCTCTTTCTTCTTGTGCTGGAAATTGGATCCAGGGTCTCATGCATGCTAGGTGTGTGCTCTACCATTGAACTGTACTATAGGCCGTAGGTGTGTGTGTATGATACTGGGAACTGAACCCAGGGGGTTTGCACTGAGCCACATCTCCAACCCCTTTTTATTTTGAAAACTGGGTCTTGTTAAATCACTCAGTCTCCCAGACTGGGCTCAAACTTCCAATTCTCCTGTCTCAGTCTCCCAGATCTGGGATTATAGGTGTTGCCACCATTCCCAGCTCCTGTCCATTTTGAAACTGCCATGAGGTGCAAAGACATTTAAACCTCCTGTTGAACTGATCCTTTCATCATTATGAAATGCTTGTCTTCCTCTCGTACTATTACTTGTCTTTGACTTTAATTTACGCACATTGTTTGCCTGTTACGTGTTTTTTCTTCATCTTCTGACTTTAGACCTATTTGTGACTTCATAAAGAAAGCCACTTGAAAACCAGGCATGGTGGCCCACTCCTGTAATCTCAGCACTTGAGAGGCTGAGGCAGGAGAATCATCTGCAAGTTCAAAACCAGCCTGGCTACAAAGTGAGCCTAAGCCAACCAGAACTGCATAGTGAGACCCTGTCTTGTAATAGCTCAGACCCTGGAATAAAATCCAAGGAAGCAAGGAATCAAGAAATTTGGAGCAAAGGCTTTTATTTCAGGCCTGGCGATGCAGCTCCCTTAGGATGGACCCAGAGACTGTGCGCCACAGAGACTGAAGAAAGGGATTTTAAAAGCAAGAGAGAGTGAGAGAAAAAAAAAAAAAAAACCACAGAGCTGTTAAGCTGTTGACTTAAGTCTGAAAACTGTAAAGCTGTCCACTTAGTTCTGATAACATCTGGAGCTTTTGGTGCCTTTCAAGTTACTCCCATTCTGCGGATAAACATTATCTCGGAATTTGAGTTTTAAACTTATGTGATCCTGCAACTGCTCTTTCCTTTGTAAGAGGGTATTGGTTTAATGGAATTACTGGTATGCCTGTCTAGCCTCTTCTTTGCTTTTCTTTTGTCTCATCTGTTCCTTTTCCCTCCTTTTCAACTTTTCTTGGATATCTATCAAATGTTTTGTTGTCTCCATTTTATCTTTTCTCTTGACTTTTAAGTGTCTTTTTTTTTTTTCACGATCACTCTAGAGCCACGCTGTCTAATGCAGTGCAGTGGCCATGAACAAGCTGTGTACCTGACATGTGGCTAATATGTCAAGGCACTGAATATTTAATTTTAATTTTAAAGATAGGTTATTCAGTTACTGGGAGAGTTGTTGGGTTTTTTTTTTTTTTTTTGTCTTTTTCATTTCTATTGGTACCAGGGATCGAACTCATGACTGCACACTTGCAAGGCAGGTGCTTATGCCGCTGAGCTAATCCCTAGCCCCTACTGGGAGAGTTTTAAGTATGACTTTTTCAATAGTAAAATTTAATGATATCCAAATACAAATTAAATATTTCCCTCTAGCCTCAAGAATTTCTAGTATTTCCCTGGGTACAGATTTTGTTGTGATGAATTATCTCATCTTTACCTCAAAATATCATTTCCCTTTCATTGCTGAAGGCTATTTTGCTGACAGTTCAGTGAGCTCTCCCGTCTGTGCTCTACAACAGTTCATTCTGTTTTACTCTGACATTGTTTATGAGAAGTTAGCTGTAACTCTAATCACAGATCCATTGTATACAATGCACTCTTCACTACTTTGATTACTTGAGAAATTTTCTGTTCATATTTGACTGTCCGAAATTTGACTCTGACATTTAAGTTTGTGCTTATCTTTGTTTTTACTCAGTGTGGGGATCTTCAGAGCTTCTGGTATCTGTGGATTGTTTTTAATTAAATTTGAAAAATATTTTCTCAATGTGTAAATTTTCTATACCAATTCCCCCTTCTCTCCTTTGGAAACTCCAATTATGCATATTTTAGTCTTTTTTTTTTTTTTTGTCTTTTTCCTTTTTACCGGTACTGGGGATCAAACTCACGACTGCCTGCTTGCAAGGCAGGTGCTTATGCTGCTGAGCTAAATCCCCAGCCCCTGCATATTTTAGTCTTATAGACAGGTCACGGAGGCTAAGTTCAGTTTTTCTCTCTGTGAGGTTCATGTTATAGAACTTGAATCTTGGGGCTGGGGATTTAGCTCAGCGGCATAAGCACCTGCCTTGCAAGCAGGAGGTCGTGAGTTCGATCCCTGGTACCGGTAAAAATGAAAAAGACAAAAAAAAAAAAAAAAAAAGAACTTGAATCTTGTTCTGTCTTCAAGTTTATTGATCCCTTCTTCTGCTTCCAGATCATATCAAATCCATTCAATGTAACTTTCATTTAATTCACATTTTCAGTTCTAGAATCTCTACAGGGTTCTTTTTTGACGTCTGCCTATCTTTCCACACATTGTATTCATCTATCCTACTAAATTCCATAACATATTTATAATGGTAGTATTAATGTTCTTATCTGTTTATTCTAATATTGGGGTGCTTTTTTCTCTTGGCTATAGCTTACATTTTTCTGGATTTTTTTTTTTTATCAGTACCGGGGATCGAACTCACGACTGTCTGCTTGCAAGGCAGGCGCTTATGCCGCTGAGCTAAATCCCCAGCCCGGTGGATTTTTAATATCTTGTGATTTTTAAAATTTTATGCTGGACATTACATGACAAAAAACAAAGGAGAAAGGCACGTATCTTATTTGTTTAGTCTCAGTGAATTCAAGCCTTTTATCCCAAAGCCATCCAAAACAAGGGCTAATTATTAGATTTTTCTAAAAGTTGACCTACAGCTGAATGGCACTTTTAATTGTTTCCTCTGTCTTCAGATGGGATTGAAGAAAGCTCACATCGCCACTAAGTTCCCAAATTTCTACACCTCTATCAGGCCCTGACTCCCAGGATGTTGGTCATTATTTGTGTTGGAATAGGTTGGATGTGGCTTTAGATACAAGATTTATCTCGTGATCAACTCCAGCAGGACCCATGAAGCTGAGCACCGGAAAACTCTGCCTCCCAGCTTGTCTCTGTGGCAGCCTCTGCCACCTCCTCAGCACAGCACTAGAATGATGCTAGGAGAACTGGCGGATCAGTCTACCATGTGCTGGAAGCCTCTCAGGATTCTGAGACCTACAGGTGCCTACACTGCTGGACAATTTCCTCTCTTTTGCACAAGGTCTGTGCATCTATGAAGGCTGCTCATGCTCGCATCACCCTTGTCAGGCCTGCACCCCAGATACTCCTGACTCTTTCCTCATTTGTGATTGGCTGATTATTCTCTAGGATTTGGCTTACTAAAGCTATGTGTCCACTCCTCTTGATTAACTTTATAGGAAAGTACGATTTTTATTTTCTCAGTCAAAGATTTTTTGCCCATGCTGAGTGTGGTGGCACATCCCTGTGATTTCAGCACTCCAGAGGCCGAGGCAGGAAACTGCTGTGAATTCCAGGCCAGCCTGAACTATACAGCAAGACCCTGCCTCAAAAAACAAACAAAATAAAATAAAATTCCCACCACTATGGGAACATTGGCTTTTGCATCCTTTAGCTTCAAAAGAATCCCATTGTGGAGGAAAATCCTGATTCAAAAATCTAGTGCCTGGATACATCCAAGACCAAATAAGTCAGACTCTCTGGTGGTAGATCTCAGACATAAATGGTTTTTAAGACTTCTCACATGATTCAAATATGTAGCCAAGGCCAATAATCACTGGTTTGTGACTTAAATAATCGATTTTGAAATCTTCCTTACTCAATTTGCAATTAGGAGCAGTCAAGTCTCTAAGGCTATTTTTCTTGCCTATGAAATAGAATACATCACAGCATTCCCTTCTATTCTTATCTCTGAGAATAAATGTGAAGTTATTACTATGACTGGAGATCTTGAGTTTCAGGTTCTGTGGAGTACTAAGGTGGGTAGAGGGGGTTACTGACTTCTCCACATGTCTGTGGCCACTGGTGGTGGCCCAGAACCCCAGCACTAGAAAGATGACGGATGTGGCCCAGAATGAGGTTCACTAGGCTGAGCAAGGTGACAAAGGAGGCCATCTTGACATAGCTGTCACTTCCATTGCTATAGGAGAAGAAGGTGATGATGGTGCCCATGCCTAGGCCCAGGGAATAGAGCACATGGCCTCCTGCCTGCCACCAGAGGTCACTGAAGCCAGGGTACAGAGCTGTGGAACAGAGTTTGGGAGAGGGCTCAGAGGCTGGAAGTACCAGTGAGCAGGCAGAGGGAGGCTGTGGGTGAGAAGCAAAGAGAAGGGTGAGGAGACTCAGTGTAAGTCTTAGGAGTGTAAGGAGGAAAAAGGTTTGGAGTTGTTGGTCTCACCTCTTTGGTCACCAGACGTTTGACACTAATAAATGCACCTTCTAGGAAGAGTCCTTGGACAAATAAGAGGAGAATGTAGGATAGGAGGACCCAGCAAATCAGCATCAAAACAAGTGGGTTAGGACAGAAACAAGCATTCAGGGGAGTTGGGGAGGAGGGAGGACGAAGACCAGGGTCAGCAGGGACCAGAAGGTTAAGAGAAAACAGTGGGGCAGTCAGACACTGTTACTTCCCTGGGCCTGGAGTAGTGGCCCACATGGGAATGCAGGCACAGGAATGGAGAAGGTGAGGGGACCCATGGGGCAAAGACTTTGTATAAAGAGGAAAAGAATGAGGAGGAGGTTACATAATTACTGTGGGTTTTGAAGTTTCTTGCCCTGGTTGGTAAGCACCCCCTTTCTCTGTGATCCCCCACTAAACTTTCACTAAACTCTCTTCCTACGGGAGTGGTTTATTTGGGGGCTGTGAAGAGATGCTAAGGTTAAGGCTCACTGTTTGGATGGATCCAGGAACCAGGTGAAAAAAGTGGAATTAAGCAAAATGACCTCACAAATACACTGAAATTAATTTCCCACATAAGAAGGAACACTGAGATAAAATGTCCTTCATGGGAAATTGGAAAGGTATCAGCCCACCAGCTCCATTATGGGTTCACACAGGCTGTCAAAGCACAGGGAGGCCTGGGCCGCGGAGCTAGGAGTGAGGCTGGGGATTCTCATGGCTTAGATCTAAAATGGCTCCCCAGATCTCCTGCATGTGCAAGGTGCCTGAATCACAGGAGCTCTGTGCTCATGAGTGGATTCATCTGTGGGTGAGTTTGTGGCTAAAGAGTGGCTAGGAGGCGGAATCTGGCTGGAGGCAGGTCTGTGGGGTGTGAGCTGGAAGGTGTCCCTAGCGCTGCACTTTTCTCTCTGGCTGCCGTAAGGTGAGCAGAATTCCTCTGCCCGGCCCTCCACTAGGCTGTTTCTATCTAGGATCCAGCCAGCCACAAAGTGAGTCCCCTTAAAACATGAGTCAAAAGCAACCTCTCCTTTAAATTGTGGATCTTGGTCATTTTGTCCCAGTGACAACAAAGTGACTAATACAGAGCCTTCAGGTCTCCATGAGTGGGGATGCTGGCCTGAGGATGGTGAGTGAAGAGGTGTCAGGGTGGATATGAGGTGCCCTTCATGCCATCCATGAAGGACAGTGGTTCTTTGTGACAAGAATGGCAGACACAGCTTCCAGGGAGTAGCTTCCTCCTCAGGACCCCGGCTGGAGACCCAGGTGGCTATGCCCAAGCTTGCCTGATGGGTAGATGGGGGAGTCATGAGGAACAGGAAGGAAGGACAGCTGGCAGGGAGGATGGTATTAGGGCAGGAAGCCTGCAGATTTTGAGAGCTACAGGGTGGGGCAGTTTACCAGCACCAAAACCTTCATATCTAAGATAAAGATAAAGAAGAGGATGACCCAAATGGCCAACTGCCCAAGCTGATGTTCAGGAGGAGGTTCGTGATCCCTTCCTCCACGTGGCTTGAGACTTGGAGTGTGGTGTGGGACAGGAAGTACTGGTCGGGGCACAGTCCGGAGGCACGAGAAATCTGGGGGACCCAGGTACTCAACACCACCGCTCCCTCCCTGGCGCTTGCCCCTTGGTGCCTGATGGCCCCTCTCCCCCTCCTTACCAGTGACACTAACATTCTTTACCACAGGGCAGTGCTCCCAGGGCAGAGGTGGCCTGAAAGAGCTGCCCAGATAGAAAAGGCTGCAGGAGACAATAGCGCTGTCATAGGTGCTCACCAAGATGCGTACCTGGAGCCGGACACGGTGGGCCTGAGAGCATGAAGACCACTCGGGTGAGCTAGGGCAACCCCAGCCCAGGCACCTCATTTACCAGCACAAAGGAATAGCCCATGCCACCCAGCCAGGGCAGGAGCTGCTTCCGGACCTGATGTCCACCTGCAGTCACTGCCCCATGGTCATCTCCATGTACAGAAGAGGAATGCGGAAGAGCAGCCGGATGACGACATAGGTCAGGTGGGAGCCACCTGAGAAGACCGCAAGGGCCATGCTCAGGCAGCCAGGCCTGCACCCCTCCAGCCTCTGGGAGGCCTGGGGCCCAGCCCAGCCCCCTATTCCCCAGGACCTGCTGTTCAGGCTCCTCCTTCCCCCACATCAGGCCCCGCCCTTACTTCCTCCATGCTGGTGACACAGGTAAGGGAAACAGTACAGGCTGCTGAACCCAGCGGAGATGAACTACTGAACTAAGGTGATCTCCATTTTTTAAGTCTAACTTAGGTAGTTTGTGGTTCTTACGGCCCAAATCTCCTTGTTCTGAAGGTTCCAGGAGAGGGACTCTTTGGTCCGGGGTCTTCTGTGCCACCTCGGATAATTCTTCAAGGGACTCTATGGGGATCTTCTTCCAGGCCCACAACTCCTGAAGAAACCTTGGGGTCACAGCAGATTTCAGCGAACACGTCTCAGGCACTGGGTGTAAAACTTCACAAGGTTTTGGGGCTGGGGATTTAGCTCAGCGGCATAAGCGCCTGCCTTGCAAGCAGGCAGTCATGAGTTTGATCCCTGGTACCGATAAAAAGGAAAAAGATCCAAAAAAAAAAAAAAAAAAACCTTCACAAGGTTTTGAAAGAAGTGTGGGCAGTGGGGGTGGGTATTTAGCTCAGCAGCATAAATGCCTGCCTGGCAAGCATGAGGTCATGAGTTTGTTCATGAGCATGGGCAAGACTTTAGCTCCTGTCCTGTCCCCCAGTGAGGAGGGAATTGACTTGGGGTAATATTTCCATTTCTGGGAGACTTTTTTTTTCTTATCTTATAAGCAGAGATTAATGCCAAATATTAAACAGCTGCTGTGTGTGAGCCCTGACTCCCCAGAATGGGTGGCACCTTGAAGATTAGAACATCCACTTCCCATCAGTCCTGTCCAGCACAATGGATGTTGAGTGACAGGGACAGGCAAACACAGAGACATTTGGGTATCTTTCCTTTCTCCTTGGTCTACCTTGGAAACTTTAGGCCCAGCTCATACACAGGCATCTGGGCCAGTGTCTCCCAAATGCAATTGTCAACACAGTCATTTCAGCACCTAAAAAATAGGCTCAAAGCCGGGCCTGGTGGTGCTCACCTGAAACCTCAGCCCCGAAGGAGGCCAAGGCAGGAGGTCACATGTTCAAGTCCCACTTGAGCAACTTAGTGAGATCCTGTCTCAAAATTTAAAAGTCTTGTTTTGTTTTGTTTTAGTTTTAGTTTTGTTTTGACATAGTCCCACTGTGTAGCCCAGGCTGACCTCAGATTTGCTGTGATGTTCTTGCCGTGGCTATAGAGTGACGGGATGACAGGCCTGCGCCACCACACCTGGCTGCCTGGCTGGCTTCTGAGGACGAAGCTACACCTCAGGCAAGCTGATGACAGCAGGGACTGAACCCTATCCAGCACCTTGTTCCTAAAGGAAGCGCTCAGAGAAAAGCAGCTGCTGTGCCCACCCACTTCTGCAAGCCTTCACTCCAAAAGAACTGACTTCGCGTGAGGGAGTGTGGGAGTATTCACAGCCATGGGGATCTGGGTGGGAAGCATTTAGAGCAGGCTGGTCATTTATGAGAGGGATGAGCTCAACTGCAGGCCAACTGGGGCCCCAGAGGGACTCAGGAACATGACAGCCAAGATAATCTCATGGGCTCAAAGCAGATCTCGATCCCTGAACTAAAATGCTGTCCCTTTACTGGGTGTGGTGGTGCACACATCTGTCCTCCAGCACTCTGGGAGGCTGAGGCATGAGGACTGCAAACTGAAGCCCAGCCTGGGAAGTTTAGTGATTTAGTGAAAAAAGAAGAGAAAAGAAAAGAAAGACAGACAGACAAAGATTGAGGGGCAAATGCATATAGTTTGGTGTGAAGGTCCTGGGTTTGGTTCCCAGCAGTGCAAAAGAAAACAAACTACCCTTTTAAAGGAGCCCAAATTTAATCAGATCAGATGTAGAATAATTTATGCCCCAGAGTATTGTCAAAACAGTAATCAGCTGGCAACTAAGAGAACCAAAAAGCTGTAGGTGATCAGGGAAAGAAGCAAAGAAGCCTTTCTAAAATTACTGTGATTGGGCTAGGGATATAGCTCAGTGACGCAAGCACCTGCCTGGCAAACCTAAGGTTGTGAGGGGTTGTGACCCTAGGGTGACAAGCATGCCTAAGGCTGTCCCTATTAGAATTACAGACTATGACTGGATGGGATCTATTCCAAGACTGTGGATTGACTTAAGATTTGAAAATCAGTTGATGCAATCCTATTTCTAGCAGTAACCACTAACCTTTTGGGCACCAGGGACCGGCTTCATAGAAGGCAACATTTTTCATGGATGGGTTTGGTATGGGGTGACAGGGTGGTTTGGGGATGATTCCAAGGAGTGCTATACCATGCACTTTATGTAAATTCACTCCTTGAGGCTGAACATGGTGGCACACTTCTGTAATCCCACAATTTTGAGCCCAGCCTGGATAGTTTAGAGTTTTAGCAACACCCTGTCTCAAAATAAAAAAGGGCTGGGGGTGTAGCTCAATAAGGCTCAAGTCTTAGTATTGCAAAAGTAGATTACACAGAGGTAAAGGGGTAATTATTAACCTGAGAGATATACTAGAAGAAAATCTCCAGAATGAAGTTAGGGGATAAAACAAGGAAAACTGGAGAAAACATCGATAGGAAGCAGGTACAAATATACAGAATCAGAGTATCAGCAAGCAGGGAGAGAGAATGGGGAAAACACAAATTGAAAAAGGAAAAGATGGCTGATAATTTTAACAATTAAATGAAGGACACCAAGCTACAGAGTTCAAAAACCTTACTGTGCTCAGTTACTGGCCTTATGGTACCTTGCTAGGCAGCATTATGGTGATGACAGACAATTAACATAAGGTCCTAGGAAATACAATAAGGAGATGTTTTAGAAAGAAGAAATACATTTGTCATTATTTACTGACATGATTGCTATTGTAAAAAATGAAAAATAATCCATAGATATATTATTGGGATTACTGAGTGAATTTATCAAGCTTCTGGATACACAGTTAATAAAATACAATTGGTAGCATTTCTACTAACCAGCAAGAATAAACAGGTAATAAAAAAGTTTAAAGTAACAATTCTAGCCAGACATGGTGGTGCACGTCTGTAATCCCAGCACTAGAGAGGCTGAGGTACTTCAAATTCAAGACAAGCCTGGGCTATAAACTGGACCACATAGTGAGACCCTGTCTCAAGAAGACCAAGCAATGGGGCTGGGGATTTAGCTCAGTGGCATAAGCACCTGCCTTACAAGCCTGCAGTCGTGAGTTCGATCCCTGGTACCAATAAAAAAAAATTTAAAAAAAGAAGACCAAGAAAATAAATGAACAAACACACAACTATAATAACATGAAAATATTTTTAAGTGCCTATGGATAAATCTTTTATTTTTTAATGGTACCAGGGATTAAACTCATGACCTCATGCTTGCCAGGCAGGCACTTATACCACTAAACTAAATCCCCAGCACCTATGGATAAATCTTAAAGAACGTTTAGTTCTAAACTAAACTAAAATGGGGGAGTGGTAAGCAGTGAAGAAAACAGCCTCTTGGAGAGTCACTGCCACGATGCTGGAATATAGCATAGTGAGGAAGACAAGATGGAGGGAAGTGGGTCCACTGAACCCAGGAAGAATCTAAAATGTGAACTAAAGCCCAAAGAGAAAGTGAAGAGAAAAACTTTAGTAAAGAAGGTGGTAGTCATTGGCACCTTCTCTGAGATGGGACTTGCTGCGTGAGAGGACCAATTTGAACCTGCAGATGCAGTGATGGTGACAGTGACTGCTGGTGACCTCCGAGGCCTCTGCAGAGAGACACCACAGTGAAGGGGTGTGGAGAACTTCACTGGCAGGCAAGGAGTGCAGAGGACTTGGTCCTCACACAGGAGACAGTGATTAGTTGGGAGCCATTTTGGAGGCAGCCTGGCTGAGCTAAGAACCCAGAACTGCTGCTGGCTCCATTTAGCAGCTCCTAGCTAGGTTGAGACCCACAGAAATTCTCAGGTAGCAGTGAGTCCAGTGTGTCTGGTCTCAGGGCAGGCCTACTGAGATTATCCACTACCCCACCAAAAAGCTATTGCTGGCTTGCTGGAAGAGATCAGCATAATTCATCGGGACTCTGTCTCCACAGATTGTCTACTAGTGAACCCGGAGAGAATCCTGGAAGTGGATTGTTTGTTTTTCCTTTCCTTTTTTCTTTCTCTTTCATAGCTTTTATATGAATGTGAACATGATTCCTAGCCTCTTTGTGGATGTGGTTCTAGTCTGCCGTTTTTTGTTTTTTGGGGATTTTTTTGGTACTGGGAATTGAACTCAGCACCTTGCACTTGCCAGGGAGGTGCTTCCACCATTGAGCTAAATCCCCGTTCAGGATGACTCTTTCATACTTGCCTTTCCTAGCAAAGCTGTGGAACTGTTTCCCTATCTCTGTGTAAGAAGTAGGAAAACTTTGGCCAGGAGGGGAAAGTGGCTCGCCAGGCGTCCCAGAAACCTGAGGGTTTGAGATGGCATACAGGTGTAGATCTGTGGCTCTCCAGCCTAGACAGAGCCCTCCAGGACAAGAAGCCGTGCCTCCCGGAGGACAAGATGGAGGCCTGCAGAAGGGCACCTCCCAAAAGAGGCAGCAGCTGCGGAAGAGGCCTGTAGATAGTCAGTCCTCCAGCCCCACTCAAGGCTGTGGGATCCCTAGCTCTGTGGGGAGGCACCGCTGTGGAAATCAGCCTTCCTGCTGTCCAGATGATGCTTCTGCAGACACCCCTGCAGCAGCGTGGGTGAATCCTAGGTAAGACTGCTGGTGGTGGGGCTCAAAGGCTGGGGTTGAGGGAGAAAAGCTTTAGTGGAAGGGACAGACGCCTCAAAGTCTCCATCCACCCCTTCAGTTTGGTTCTTGCACCCTGGAACCATGGTGGGGCAGGAAGGGTGATCTCTTGGTTCCCAGCAAATGAGAAGCTGAAGACCTCACCACTTCACCAGAAGCAGAAGGCCTCCTCCTCCTCCACTCCTGCCACCACTTTCCCAGATTGGGCCCACTTGGGGAGGGAGAGCGAGGAGGCGAGAGACACCCTTGGACGGCAACGAGGCTCAAACCCAGCCTTGAAATCCCGGGGATGACTCCATGCTTTCCAAGGCCACCAGACTCACATTTCAGTTTTCTTTTCCTCCAGAAACTGCCCATGGGCCCAGGACTATCCCAGAAATCCCAAGATCTCTGAGAATTTGAGGGGAAGCCTTTCCTGGATCTCTGGGAGGCTTGCCATCCCTGACCTCCATCATCTGTGAGAAGCTGGTCAGAGACCCACCGAGTTCCCAGACCTTGGGCAAACCCACCAGATTCCTCCGGGATGGAACCTGTGCTGTCTCTCACTATGCAGCAATGATGGGACCTTTGGTAGCCCCGCAGTCCCCCGTGACGGTTCCCCATGTACGGGTTTACACATGCACTTGGTTTGCACTGGTGCAAACTCTTTCAAAACAGCCTTCAGACAGGGGCTACCTTCTCAGGAACAAGCACATTCACAGCATGCCTTCCTTTGGTGCCTGGCTTTTCCTAGGCTAAAACCAAACCTTGAATAAGGCCAATCTGGTAATGCAGAATTTGACTATGCCATGGCCAGGGAGGGCAAGGACACGGGGCTAGACATTTGGTTCTAGAAGGAGCAGAAACCTGCTATGGAGAAACCCTCGGTCTCGGTGTGGGTACCTGGGAAACTGAGTCACTGACCTTGCTCCGCTTAGCCCCGCAGGTTTGGTGAGGATGCGTGTGCTGTGGGCAGGGATGGGAAGCTGCAAGCAGAGCAGATGGGGCTCAGGTAGGGGCCAAAGCCAGAACCCTCTGCCTTGAAATCAACGCCCTCCTCGTGGCAATGAAAGCACCCTGCGTCCAGAGACACCAACAGCTGGGAGCCGTTAGATGTGTTCTGAGGGATGTGTGATGTTAGAAAAAAAGAATGGCACAAGGAGGTCAAAGGACTGGCTGATCATTTTTCTGGTTTATTACCTTAAAGAACTTTTCTCTTGGGCCCTTTTGCTGGGCACTATATGGCTCTTTCGACGGGGCGAGGATTTCACAGGCCTGAAGGGGATCCCATGGACAAGACAGTAGAAGAGGTACCCAGGGATGGGGATGATGACCACGAGGTAAAATATGATTATCAAGATCCGCGCCCAGGATGGGTAGTGTCGAATCACCTCCTTTGACTGTGGAGATGCAGGGAAGGGGTTCAGAGAGGGAAAGGTCTGCTCCCACTCATTGAGGTTCCCAGGGCCTAGGGAGGGGCACTCACCGTGCTCGAGTCCCAGGCCACATAGGTGAGGGGCTTCACGATCAGCTTCATCAGGAGGGCTACATACGTGATGAGCAGCATGACTGGAGTCAGGTAGCTCCACACCCAGCTGACGAAGCGGAAGGTAAAGCTGGGCACCAGGGTCTTCATGTCCCCAAGAAACCTGAGGAGGGAAGAGGGTGGGTTATGAGCAGGGCCTTACCTAGCCTTGGGGGCAGGGCCAATCCACCTGTGCATCTTTCAGGTATTCTGTTACAGCTCTGACCCCTGCTTCCTCTTAGGTTCCAGCCTCTGTCAGCCCATCTGCCACCTCCCTCTCATTCACCCCACGAATATGAGCATATCCAAGACGGGCCAGGGGCTCATAAATGCTGGGTACCTGGCAGTGAAAAATGCAAACAAAAGGAAATGCAATCCTCAGGGAATTTATCCTTGTTTTCCAGTCTCATACCCAGCCTCCTTTAGTACATATTCTCTAGCTCAAGAGCTAGGTTAAGAGGGGCCCACTGGCCTTGGTTATCCCTCCTCTTGCTTTCTCTGCCTGTTCATCTGCAGACTCTGCCCCAGGCCCCTCCACTCTCAGACAGGGCCTGCAGCCTGGCTGTTACCACCTCCTGCTAGGACTCTCCTTGTGCTCAGCTAAGCGATCATGTCCCAGTCCCACCTGGCTCTCCTGACAGAGAGTGAGTCTCTAGAAGTGTCTGAGTTCATTGATGAGTTAATAAGTGGAAGAAATGACTCCAGGAGCCACTGCCACCTGTAAATGTCACCCTCTGAGCCTCCACATGAGTTGCACACCTTGGATGCCCACGTATTGGCCTAGCAAAAGTTTGGGATCAGGAAAACCTTGTCTTTGATATGAGCTCTCCTTCTGTTGCTTCCAGCTAGGACTTCTAGGTTCCATCCCTGATTATCTTGGCCCATTTCCTGATAGTTTTGCTTTCCAAAGTCAGACTACTTCTCTCTAGTTGCATCTTTACCACTTGAGCCCAGGACATTGCTAGCTCTACTGGAAGTGTTAGCTCCAATTCTCCTCGCTTCATGCTTCAGTCTCTCCTGCACACAGCAGTCACAGACATCTTTGTAACACATAAATCTGATAATGCTCCTTCTTGACTCAAACCTTCCAATGAGTTAGATTTCACTCTTCATGAACAGGCTAAGTGCCGCCATGGGTGACAAGGCCTTCACAACCTGGCCCACTTGCTTTTGACCCTGACATCCTACTCCAGCCTCTCTGGCCAACTTGCTCCTCACACTCCACACACCATGCATCCTCTGCCCCTGATTCTTCCTGCTGCCATGTTAAGTCAGTCTTTCTCCAGCAGCGTCCTCCCTGGTCCATGACAAAACCTGCTCACAGGTCACTGTCCTAGAGGGCCCTCGCTAGCACCCTGTTAGAATTTGTGCCTCTACACTTTAGCTCATCTTGCCCTACCTCCTGACTTCTTCCTCTCACTTGTCCTTTTTTAGTCTTTGTCAGTTCAGTTATTACCTATCCACACTACTACAATGTGATCTCCCCACAGACAGGGATGTTTTATTAAACACAGCATTCTGGTAACTAGAACAGTGTCTGGTGCATATGAAAACATGGATATTAATGAAATGATAAAAACATTACCCAAAAGACCCTGCTATGTTACTCCAGTTGGTAAGAAGAAGCAACAAGGGGTCACTCCCCGCCCCCGAGACCCATGCTGTCCAGGAGACTCGACTTGGACGTCACCTCCTGGCCCCACAGGCCCAAGCCACAGCAATGTTTTCACAGATGATGACGAAAATGATGGGCATGGGTGTCCAGTATTCGCTCAGCAGTCTGATGAGATATGCGCCAGAGGGGCGAGTGAAGAAAAGGCCACATAGGAACATCAGCCCAGAGATGCCCACTGGAGGAAAAACTGAATTAGAGGTGACTGGGGTCAAACAGAGGTCATAGACCAGGCCAAAGGGCCACTAGGGTGTGGGTCAAGAGTACCTATGAGCAGCTTGGTTTGTTTCCTAAAGAAAGAGAAGGAGTCCTGGAGCGGGACAATGAGGCCCTGCATAAATCCTATGGTGGTACCCAAGCCTAGTAACAGCAGCATCAGGAAGAAGAGGATAGTCCAGAAGATTGACCGAGGAAGGAAGGATGTAACTTCAATGAAGGACAGGAATACAAAGCCTGGGCCTTCCTTAACCTGTAAAGAGAGGAGGAGGAGGAGTTGCAGCATCTTTGAATTTAGCAACAAGAATAGCAAAAGCAAAACACAAAGGTACATTCTATTTTCTCTGGAAAACGCTTTGAAAGCCCTAAATCACTGAGAAAAGCAGATCTTGCCAGGCATGGTGGTACATGCCTAAAATCCCAGCAAAATCTTAAATTTCAGTACGTATATCCCAAGATACTCTGCAAATTATTTAAGGGACATTATCATAACCACTTATGGTAAATAATTTTATTATAGGAAACAAAGGCCATTATGGTCAAAATTTTGGAAAGAAATCTGCTAGTCTCAGTAAGATGTTGTCTTAATGTCAGAGAAAAGGATCAGTTCTCAGCTGTGTCACCTCTGAAAATGGAGTGGTATTAAAGTTACCACTTGCCCTCCTTGAACTACCATACTTAACAAACGAGACTAAGTGAATAGATAAGGCAGCTTTCTGTAGAATGGGCTCCTACGCTAATGAGTCAGGAGGCCAGCCTGAACTACATAGCAAGACCCTGTCTCAAAAAAAAAAATGTATAGAATAATAAAGACTTTTAAAAAAAAGAAAAAAAGGGGAAAGAAAAGCAGACCTCTAAACAAATCTGACAAAGAAAAGTGGATCCACCTCCGCTGTTCATGGCAGTGGCCCATGTTATATTAACAGGGCTGCCCAATACCATGGGGCTTGTAGGGTTTTCCCCATGACACAGAAGTGACATTGTGTTCTGTGGGCCCAAAGTATTCTGGGCCAGGTCACAGCTTTCTGTACTCACCTGCAGAATCCACTCCTCTCTGTTGCACTCAGACACCTCACTGAGTACCAGGCTCTTGGTGTTTGGGTCCAGGCCACTGAGCCAGGAATTGTAGGTAGAGGTGGGGTCACTGTGCAGGTTGGTGGGGGGCTGAGCCTCAGAGGGCAGCGTCCCCATGTTTACCAGCATCGACAGCTTTTCCATGTTCCTGAGGGCAGCAGTTCAATTATACAGGTTGTACAGCCTCTTGGGAGATGGCCTCTCCTATTCCGTCTTTCCTTCTATCTGCCAGCTAGCCTAGCGCTACCAGTTACTGACCAGGTAGGAAACCTAAGAGGCACCCACCCACCTTTGAGGCCATGAATTGGCTGTGTGAGCCTAAAGAGTTGATGACCATAGGCCTCCCAGGAGGAGGGTTTTCTATAACCCCCCAGGGACTTGGGGTGCTTCTTCTAGTGATGGGAACTCAGTCATACCAACCTCCTTGCTTGTTAAGACAGGTAGGTAAAAGTTGACCATCTAAATTTCAAACCACAGAACGCTGGGAGCACAGCTGACTTGGGCTATGTTATCTATAATGTTTCAGAGAGTGCTGCTATGTGACTGAAAACTGCTTGCTCTTGCGCTTGCTCACTCTCGCTAGCTCGCTCTCTCTCTCTCTCTCTCTCTCTCTCTCTCTCTCTCTCTCTCTTACAGCACTGGGAGTTGAACCCAGGGCCTTTGCACTGAGCTATACTCCAGCCCTTTTTAAATTCTTTAAACTTTGAAACGGTTTCTCTTTATGTCACTAAGTTGCCCAGACTGAGCTAGACAGATCTTGTGATCCTCCTGCCTCAGTCTCCCAGAGTGCTAGGATTAGGTGTGTGCCTTAGCCTTTCTAATTTGAACTTTACTGACCACACCAGCCTCATAACTCTATAGTGCAGCTAATGGTCCCTGTGCTGGCCAGATGTAACTATTCAACAACATACTCCCTCCCACCCTGGACCTCCCCGCCTGCCAGCTAACTTGTACAAATCTGTTAAAGCTCAGCAAACAGAATGCAGTAAATCATTAAAAAGATCACACATCATGACCATGTAGGTGATTTTTTTTTCAGGAATGAGAAAAAAATATTTGTATGGGATGTTAAGGGACCCGGAGTAGCCAAAAGCTGTCTTGAAAAAAAAAAAGCAGGAAGATCCACATGTCCTAATTTCAAAATTGAACCAATGAAGCAGAACTGAAAATGCAGAAATAAACCTTCACACCTATAATCAGTCAGTTTTCAAGGGTGCAATGATCACTGAACTAAGAAACAAGTTTATCAGTAAATGTTAAGAGATAACTTCCACAAATGAAGGCATGAATCTATACCATTATAGCCTTACTAAATTAGTAAAACTTGAATATGCTGGCAATCCAAGTGTCTTCACAAATAATCAGAATTTCTATCCCTGGTGTGATTCAAGCAGGCTTGGGTTGCGTTTATATCAAGTTTTACATGCTGCACATTTTGTTTTATGTTTTCCTGTGTTTGTATAATAGGATCGCACAACAGACTTTTTAAAAACACAAAAATACCATTATCCTCTACCACCATCACAAAAATTTAAAAACCGGATGAAGTTTAATCAAGTGTTATGCAATAAAACTGTATACTGAGGAAAGTAACTTGGTGACACTGAAGAGGTATGTGGAAAGAAAATACAACCACCAATATCTTGCAGCTGTTCTTACAAAGAAATCTGTCTCTCGCTCCTTGACCCTTGTGGCTTTCTGACTTAGGAGCAGTGACAAAGATCACATGGCCATGCTGAGGTTTCAAGACCTTCGTTGCCTGCCTTTGTGCTCTTGAGCTGCTTTCTGGGAGAACCTACTGGATGTGAGCCTGGTTGGCACCACAGACAGAACAAGTGTCACTCACTTGGGTGCAACACCTTCAGCCCTCTAGCTAAACAGCCTCATCTGTGAGTTTACACAGGCCCAGGATAAGAACTTCTCAATTCATTCAGAGTCCTGAGAAGCAAGAAATTATTTTAAGGCACTTACATCTGAAATGATTTCTTACCAAGGAATAGATAACTACGCCCAACAACCTCATTCATAGGAATTCATGTTAGAAAAACCTCACAGGTAACATGCATACAAACAGTCCAATTTTGCTTTAACAGTCAACCAGAAAGACTGCAAATGTACATAAAGAGAGGACTGGTTTTTCTTAAACCTGTGATATATATGTATGGACTAGAACACTATGCAGCATTTCAAAAGCGCACACTGGGGCTGGAGGTTTAGCTCAGCGGCATAAGCGCCTGCCTTGCAAGCAGGCAAGTCATGAGTTCGATCCCTGGTATCAATAAAAAAAAGGAAAAAGACAAAAAAAAGTGCACATTAAAATTATACACAATGATGCAGATGAATATTACAAATATATTGAATGACAGAAGTAAAATGAAGGCATCCAGAGATTCTATATGCAACTTCGCAAATTAAATAATATAAACTGAAATACTAAACCATGTGTTTTCAGAAAAGCCCAAGGTCCTGAGTTCAATTTCCAGTACCAAACCAAACCAAACAAAACAAAAAAACCCAACTACATGTTTTGTACAAGTAGGCAAACCAAACCACATCACACAAAGATGATAGAATTTGTCATCATAAAAGTCAAGAGAATGGTTTCCTTTCAGAAGGGAACAAGATTGTGGTTACCTCTATAGAGACACACAGAAAGGTGTTAGAATTATTCCATCTCTTAACATGGGTTGTGTTTATATCAAGTTTTACATGCTGCACATTTTGTTTTCCTGTGTTTGTATAATAGGATCTCACAACAGACTTTTTAAAAACCCAAAAATACCATTATCCTCTAACACAATCACAAAAGTTTAAAAAGCTGATGAAGTTTAATCAAGTGTTGTGCAAAAAAGAGAAAAAGTAGAATTTTCACACATCATTGGTGAGAGAGTAACAGATTAAACCACTTTGAAAATATGACCATCTAAGATTTGCAATAGCCAAAAATGAAGTTCAATCCTTTTGTGACTTCAGACTGAAGGAAAAACCAAAAAAGGCATTTCAATGCACCTTCCCATAGTCTCAGGAAGATCATGTCTTCCCCTTTTCAAGAACTGAGACAGAATACAGTGTTCTCTCTATGCCCATCCGAAAGGATGATGAGGTTCAGCTTGTGTTAGAACACTGTAAAGGTCAGCAGATTGGCAAAGGAGTCCAGGTTTCCAGGAATGTGTCAACCAAACAGGTGCAGTGGGAAAAGGCAAATGGCACAGCTGTCCATGTGGGCATTCATCCCAGCAAGGTGGTTATCACCAGGCTAAAACTGGACAAAGACTACAAAAAGATCCCGGAATGGACAGCCAAGTCTCACCAAACAGGAAAGGAAAAGGGCAAATACAAGGAAGAAACAACTGAGAAGATGCAGGAATAAAGTCCTCTCTTGTATAACTTTAATTAAGAACTGCCAAAATGGGGGGCTAGGGATTTAGCTCAGTTGCATAAATGCCTGCTTGGCAAGTGCAAGGTCATGAGTTTGATTCCGTGTACCACAAAAAAAAAAAAAAAAGAACTGCCAAAATGGAAAAAAATACAACTGTCTGTACTCTAGAGAAATCTTGCATATGTTTACATGTAGAGGCCAGGGCTTCTTCTAGGAGACAGTGCTTATTTGTGGAGGGAGGGTCACTGTGGAGAAACTGCGCCCAGGTTGGCCTTCTCTGGAGACCTTGTGTGACCCACCCAGACATAACATATAGCTTTGTTCTCCATCATTTCCCATCACTAATCACAAGTTCATGTCTGACACAAAATTAATTCCTCTCCTTCTCCTTCAAAACTGAAACCCTAATGAAAGCTAAAACTGGGTCTGATTGACCTAAGGCTCTATGATGTGTACATGATCAACAGGTACACAATTACTGTTAGGAAGCATGAGTCCTAGTGTTCTACTTTACTGAGGATAACTACAGTTAATACTGTGCTACGCACTTCATTCAAAGTAACTAGAAGGGATGACTTTGAATGTTCTCATTCCAAAGAAATGATAAATATTTGAGGTGATGAGTACGATAAATAACTTGATTTTATCACTGTACAATGTATGCATGTATCAAAACATTGTAATATACCACATGTACTAGCAAATGTCAAGTAAAAACAAAACAAAACATATAAATCTCTGGGGGATTGTTTTTGTTGTTTTTGAGACAGTCTCACTATGTAGTTTAGGCTGGCCTTGAACTCACTATGTAGCCCAGGTTGGCTTCAAACTCAAGGCAATACTCTTGCCTCAGCCTCCCAAGTACTGGAGTTACAGGGGTGTCTCACTAGGGGGACATTTTTAAAATTAATGCCTAAATGATAAAAACAAGACTGGTAATGGCAGGACACGACTATGAACCCAGCTACTCAGGAGACAGGAAGGATTTTAAATTTCAAGCAAAGCCTGGGCAACATATCAAGACTGTCTCAAAAATAAAAAGAGCCTGGGGATATGGCACGGGTAGACTTACAAGGCCCTGGGTTCAATGCCCAGTACTTTCAAATAAATAAACCAGAAATGGTCAGACAATAGTCTGTAATTCTGAGAACTGTTTGGATTTAAGTATGCAGAGGGAACAGGAATCGCTAAACTTAGGAGCCCACAGTGAAGAGTGGAGGTAGTCAGGAAACAGACAGCTTCTCTGTATAGGTGTGGTTGTAAGAATGGTTATTTTGTGTGTTAGGAATAGATTAACTTGAGTACGGTCACTTTTAGTGTATCTGTTAGTGCTTGCTATTTCCAAACCGACCGGTTGGCAATCTGTGTCTGAAGGGTCCCTGAGGTATGAAAGGGCTGAGATGACAAAGAACAGGAGGTTCCATGGTCTGCTTTCAGCAATGGGCAAGCAGTGACACCTTTCCCCTTAAGGTCTTTGAGTTCTGATGTTCCCTGGTGCTAGGACCCTCACAAAGGAGCTTGTCTTACTTCTCAGAGCAGCGGTGGGTGAGGACCGTAGCCCAGAAGCCCAGCACAGCGAGGATGAAAGGTGTTGTGAGGAACAAGGTGGCCAGGTTGATCATAGCTATGATGAAGGCATCGTAGAGGCAGTTATTGGACTGGGGCATGTGGGAGGATAAGCAGGCAATGGGACCAAAGCCTAGGCCTAGATCAAACAAAACTTGGCCTCCTGCTACCGACCACACAGTCAGATCATATACAGCTGTTACCTGAAAGGAAAAAAGTAAGTATAAGAGATGATGCAGGGGCCAGGGGTTTAGCTCAGTGGCACAAGCACCTGCCTGGCAAACACAAGGTCATGAGTTTGATCCCCGGGGGGGAGGTGGGGGAGAGAGAGAGAGAGAACGAACATAATAAAGAAGACAAGGACAGCTATAGCAGAAATGCTGGGGGGAGGCAGAAGGCAGTAATGGGACCAGGGGCCCTAAAAATGGGCACTGTGGAGTTCTCCACCTCACCTTGGCAACCAGCAAATGTTTCAGGCCATGTTCTGCCCCTTCCAGTAGTAAACTCCAGATGACGAAGCAGAAAAGGATGACAAAGGAAAGCGACACCAAGACACACATGACCTGCATTAAGAAGGGGACATATCCCCATTGTGTCCCAGCAAGAGCCAACCCACAGGGAAGGATCAAGAGTTCTGGTCAGAGTTTAGCAGGTAGTTGGTCTAGGAGAGCTCTCAGCAAGGGTCGGGGCTGATGGAAGTAGAGCTGGGAGTGAGAAATGTGGAGAAAATGTAGACAAGTGAGGCAGCTATGGATCTGAAAATATCGAGGGACCCAAGCCTGTGGCTCACCTTCCCCAAGGACTTGAGTCCCTTGATCATGAAGGCACCCACAAGACACCAGCACACAAGGAGGGGCAGGCTGAGACTCAAAACCAGCGGCCCGCCATCCTCAAGCCTGTCTGAGACCTTCACGGTTTGCCGGTACCAGAAGTATACGGAGGGTGTCGTCTGTGCACACTCAGGATCTGAGGGGACCTGGCTTTGGATGCGCCTGCCAGACAGGGTGCCCCACCTCTGGGTCCCTCCCTTCTCCCCTCCCCCATTTGTGTTTCCTTCTATCTTCCTCTTCCTTGTCCCTCCTCCCTCCTATTTCCTCTTTCAAATTCCCTTCCAGCTCTCATTTTCCCCTTCTCTTTCTCTTTGGTTTCCTCTCACCAAAGTCACTGGAATTCTTCAATAAGGGACATTTCTCCCATGGAACAGGGTATTGGAAGATGTGACTCAGGTAGAAGAGGATCCAGGAATTCACCGTGTTCATGTACATGCTTGAGAAGAAACATATCTGGGAGCAGAGAGGAGCAGGCTGAGGGATGAGTAGGGAGAGGAAAACAGAGGGAATGTGACAGAGGACTGGGGAGGGACTGCAGGAATATGACCCAGGGGAGTGATCAGGTGACCTGCTCCAGACAAGGGCTGGGCAGCCCAGGGCTCCTCACTATAAAGCTGACGTAGCCCACGCCACCAGCCCAGGGGGTGATGATCTTCCATGAATCCATTCTGTTCTGGTGTATCCTCTGGCCAATTGCCATCTCCAGGAAGAGCAGAGGAATCCCCACAAACAGCAGCATGATCATGTAGATGATGAAGAAGCTGGCTGCAAAGAAGAGTCCAGAATGGTTATGAGAACTATGGCCTGGACTTCTTCCCAGCCCCAAGATGCCACACTCACCACCAGAGGCCTCCTTTGGGGCCTTCAGCACCAAGGCTTACCTGTTTGTACAACCTCACTGTCCCGGGCACCTCGTTTCCTGCTCCCTAATTTCTAGATGGCCCAGACACCCGGCTTCCATCTGCCGAAGTTTGACCTAGAATATCCCCTAGATCTCATGTGATTTGAGGTGGGGCTTTTGGAAGGTGACAGGGTTGCGAGGGCACTATACTAGTGAGTGGCTTCATCCACTAATGTGGTCATAGCTGGAAGGGTGTTCAGGCTAGGGCCTCTCTGGAAGAAGGTGAATTCCTGGGGTCTGACTTGGGAGGAGGTACTCTTACCCCCAGCCCCTTCCTTCCTTTCCGGCTTGTCCTTGTTTTCTGCGTCCACCTGAACAGCTTTCCTCTGCTGTGCCAGCCAAGCCTGGACTGAAAACACCTGAAACTATGAGGCAGAATACATCTTTCGTCCTCTAACAGTGACAAAAAGCTGACTAAATGCACCCTGCTGCTGCCCAGGGCTCTAGCCCTACATCTGTACATCAGATACCCTGTACTGCCAACCCTCTGGTAGATCCAGGCTCCTTGCTCCTATTGTGCTCATAGTACCAACTTTTCAGCATCAGCACAGTTCAGAGTGTGAAGCCTGAGCAGGCCTCCATCCTGCCAGCCCCCTTCCCATGGCTCCTCGTTTCCTGGACTTACCGCTCCCTTTGTGAAGCCACAGGTAGACAAAGTGCCAGAGATTGAACGGCCTCAAGGTGTAGCCCACCAGAGTCATGAGGTATTCAACCTTCCTGGGCCAGAGTGGACGAGCAATGAAGTCATAGCTTTCTTCTCTGTTTGCCTCTTGCCCCTGCTCCATTGCGGATTTCGATTTCAGGACTGAGACAGGTGTCATTTCCACTGAAGAACCTTGCTGCTGTTGCTCAACCCTGGCCTGGGTCCCTAAACTGTATATCTCCCAAGCCTGAGCATTCGAGATCTGGGGCACTGAATCCTCAGGTGCCAAAGACCAGATCATCCCAGATGAGACAGATGTTTGTCCTGAAGGGAAGAGTCCTGAGTTAGTCTGGGAAACCTCTGACTCACTAGATGAGGACGTTTCCAGTCTGGACTCTGAAGTCTGGGCATCTGGCCGATGCTCAGGAGCATCTCCATTGGTTTCAGAGGGAGGGTCCCCTTTCCCAGAAGACCTTAAAAATGTCAACAAGTGCAGTCTTTAGGTTTTAGAATTGAAAATCTACTAAGCTCAAAAACAATCCACACGAATTCCTTAAAGCAAACCTTCCTTTCGATCTCCACTACACATACAAATCCCTCATGTAAGTTTCACTTCTTAGAAATGCTTTAATGTGGGGCTGGGGATTTAGCTCAGAGGCATAAGCACCTGCCTTGCAAGCAGGCGGTCGTGAGTTTGATCCCCAGTACCGATTAAAAAAAAAAGAAATGCTTCAATGCGAAGGTCAGGGACAGAAAGAGCCAAGCTAAGAGGAAAGAATAAAGGAATCGCACTAGAAGGAATCTGAAGACATGGAAGACTAGGGAGGTATCATTGCAGAGGGGTTTTATTTTGTTTGCCATGTTATGGATTATTGAGCCCAGCGTCTTCCCACTGAACTACATTCTCTGACTTTTCCTCCTTTTTTTTTTTTTTTGAGACAGGGTCTCACTATGTAGCCCAAACCGGCCTCCAACTTGTGGCAACCCTCCTGCCCCAGTCTCCTGTGTGCTGGGGTTACAGGCACTGCATCCAGCTGTAGAAGGGCTTTTAAAAGAAACTAATTTAACTCTAATCTGCCTCATTTGCAGGAAAGCTGTTTTACAGGTCTAAACTTGCTTATCTGTAAAACACACTGGTCTCACTCAGGCATTACTGTTCACTGGGGCTACCTCCTGCACCTCCCGTCCCCACTCCCCTCTCCCGCCCACCCACCCTGGTCCTTCTTCACAGCCTTTCTTCTTTCTTGGTCCCTGACTGCTGCTCTATGTCAGCAACAGGATGGGGCTCTACCTCATTTCTGGGGCCACACTCCTCTCTTTTTGCTGTGTTCCAACACGCTGACTTTTCACTGCCACCTCCAAGGCTCTATGGGAGAACAGGCAAGGACTGTGCTGAAAAACAACACAAGAAAATGGCCCATGAATGAGAGGATCTGGGGGTGCAGAGCTCAATCTTTGGTTCCACTTCTACATAAGCAATGAGCAAAGAGACTGATATCAATATATAGTGGGAAAGAGACTTAGTATGTTTATAGCCTCCTACCTGCTTTTGAGTAGTTTTTAAACTGTCTACAAAAAAGTATGTATTGCTTCAATAATCAAGAGAAACAGTGGTAGGGGAATGGGGAAAAAACAAGTTCTATCATGCACAGGTACAAATTCTATATGATGAATGTGATCATTATGTGTATCTAAAATGTAACAATAAAATCTAATTAAAAAAGGAAAAAGAGAAACAGATATCAATAGGTCAAAGTAAAAAGGTGATATTAGACAAAGAAATCAGGGTGAGCTGGGTGGGTTGGCGAACACCTGTGACCCTGGTGCTGGAGGCGGGAGCAGGAGGATTGCCCAGAATTCAAGGTCGCCCTGGACTGCACAGAGAGACTCTGTCTCAAAACACAATTTTTTTCATTTATCTAAATTCAGATATTATATGCAGATTTTGGTAGAACTATTACGTTGAACTTAGTTCTGACCTGTCTTATAAAGAATCGTTTCTCCAGTATATAATATTAGATGAAATAACAAAGCCAGTATCTAAATTTTATTTTGTTTTAGTAACACAAATTAAAATGGTATGTACCATTGTTTTTTTTTTGTTTTGTTTTGTTTTTGAGACAGGGTCTCTCTATGCAGTTCAGGCCAGCCTTGAGCTCAGGCTGGCCCAGGCTGGTCGCAAACTCCAAACGATCCTCCTGCCTCACCCTCCCCGAGTGCTGGGATTACAGGTGTGAACCATCACACCCAGCACCATTGGTGTTTTTGTTTTTGTTCTTTTAGGCATGTATTCACACACAATTTGGAATTTTCTAGTTGTAAGGTCAGGACTTAGATTCACCAAATGAAAACTCTGAGCCACACAAGGAATATTAAAATAGCTAACAGAATTTTGTCTTCGTTTGTCGTTGTCGTCTTCTTCTTCTTCTTCTTCTTCTTCTTCTTCTTCTTCTTCTTCTTCTCCTCCAGCTCCTCCTCCTCCTCCCTCCTCCTTCTTCTTCCTCCTCCTCCTTCCTCCTCTTTCCTCCTCCTTCTCCTCCTCCTTCTTTTTCTTCTTCTTCTTTTTCTTCCTCTTCCTTCTTCCTTCTCCCTTCTTCTTTTCCCCTATCACTACCCTGAGTGTGGAATTCCCACTTAGGGCAGGTAACATTAGTGGTGGGCATGAAGGGACTGGAAAAGTGCAAACCGGTGAGGGGCGTTGGATACAAAGTAACTACAATGACTTCTGTGAGCTGTTTGGTTTTAATGACTTGATGCACTCTTTCACTCAATGTTTGTTGTTGTTGTTTTTTGAGACAGTATCTCACTATGGAGCCCAGGCTGGCCTCAAACTCATGGTGATCCTCCTGCTTCTGGGATCTAGGCATGCACTACCATGCCTGGCTTGATCCATCCTACGTGTGTGTGTGTGTGTGTGTGTGTGTGTGTGTGTGTGCGCGCGCGCACATGCGCATGTATGTCTTTTTGAGACAAGGTCTCACTATGCAGTTCAGTCTGGCCTCAAGCTCACTTTATAGCCCTAGCTGGTCTCAAACTTGCAACAATCCTCTTGCCTCAGCCTTCCAACTTCTGGGATTACAAGTATACACACCACACCTGGTGTTATAGTCAGGGTTTGTAAGGAAAACAATTTAATACAGGATACATAATTTATATAATTTTATAATAGTCATCCAAAGAATCAAATGTGAAAGATTCCACATACTAAAGACCCAAAAAATCCAGCTGAGGGCCAGGATCCAATGGCAATGACCTCCACGAGTCCAGCTGAAGACCTAGAGCCCCCAACAATGCCTCACGCAAATCTTTATCAAAGATCTGCCCTAGGAAGGCCCAAAGATAAGTGGTGGAAGCTAGAAAGTCTGTGCCAGTGGATGAAGGGTCTGTACCAGTAGGCTGAGGGACCTGCACTAAAGCCAGAAAGCAACACTCAAAGTAAGGACTAGGGCTCCCCCAAAACGTACCATAGCCATCCTCAACAACAAGGAGGTCCCAAGCTCCTCTGATGATGGGAACAACTGAGTTCATATCAGGAAGCCAGCTAACAAGCTTTCCCAGGAGACTGAACAGCACACCATGTTCCCCTCTGGAGCCTGGAAGTGATATTCAAAGTAAGGACCAGAGCTCCTCCAAAGTGAACCTCAGCCATTATCAGTGACAAGGTCCCAAGCTCTCCAACGATGACAACAACCAAATTCATATCAGGAAAAAAGCTCTACAAGCTCCTCCAGGAGAACCAACAGTAACAGGAGAACCCAGAATATTACTTCTTCCTCGCCTATTCTCTCATTTTAAATTTTATTTTAAATAAAACCAAACAAAATAAAACATAATAAAGCCATTCAAAACAAAACATTTAAAGTGATATAGAACTTCAAAACAGGATAATAGGAATCAATAATGGCTGCCATGGCTGGTCCGAAGGTAGTGAGTTATCTCAATTGAGTGTTCACAGTCAGTACAGATTGAACTCCTTGTTCTATTCTTTCCCCCCTTCTCACTACTGCACTTGACTAGTCTAAAAAAAAAAAAAAAAAAAAAAAAGGCTGCCATGATGCTTGTCATCTTCAAAATTGCTGTCCTCCCAAGAAGCAACCCTTCCTGAGAATTGGTGTCATGCATAGGCCACTAGGGGGACAGTCAGATGCCAGCCTTTTCCCATGAGTCAGCACCATTCATGGACTGTGGGGGAATAGAATCAGTGCCATGCACAGGCCACTGTGGGGAGAGCCAGATGCTAGCCCCTTTCAGCACGTGGACTAGGAAACAAGAAGAGCCAACCCCACTCCTCATCCCCACCAAAAGCAACCAGCTATCTGGAGAAACACAGGCTGCAATGACAGCTATTGAGGTAAAATAATATGTAATGCTTGTAGTGTTTAGTGTTTTACTGACTACAGGTTTAAAGCCAGTGGTCTGATCATCTATTCAGAGGATAACAATACACAATGTAGCATTTATGGGGGATCTCCTTCTGAAGGTGGCAGCCATTGTTAATTCCCTAGCATCTCGAAGTCCTGTATCATTGTCATTGTTTTGTTGGGTTGGGATTTATTCTGTTTTTGTTTTGTTTTGTTTGATTTTATTATATCTGATCACATCTGATATCAGCTATTTCAAAGACAACAATATATATTATGGCATCCATTTTGGATTTACTCTTATCTTGTTTTGAAGTCCTCTATTGCATTTTTTGTTGTTATTGGTTCTATCTTGTTTTGTTTGATTTTTACTGTCTCGGAAGGTATCTGTAGCTCTTGGAAGACAAGAAGAGGCATTCTGGTAACCATTGTTGATTTCCTATTGTTTTGAGGTCCCGTGTCACTTACACTGGTCTATTTTGACTGGCTTTATTCTGTTGCATTTTACTTGGTTTTATTCCCTTTAAAATAAAAAGAAAAAAAATTGCTGCCCATACTATCAGAATAATAAAATGAAACAAAACAGAACAGAATTAAACCAAAACAGAACACTGAATAAAACAAAACAGGAAAACAAAACAATAGAACAATATTGGGTTTCAAAAACAAGACAGAAGGAAACCTCCCATTTTTGCTACACTGCATACTGCTGTCCTCTCAGCAGATGTTCAGACTACTGGCACTAGGCCTGCAAAGTCAATCAAACAATACAAGTGTTAAGCTGTTTTTGTACCTCAGTTGCTAACTACTCAGCCTATATTCCTCTGAATCAGCCAGTTGCTTATGGGGGGAAACAGGAAGGGCAGGGGGCAGGGGAGGAATGGAGTTCTGGTCTTCCAGCTTGAGCCCTGGTTGGCTCATGGGGAGGGAAAACTGGCTTCTTGTTTCTCCTCCCGGGACCTATATGGCTTCCACTGACTCACAGGAAGGGTTCTCCTCCCAGAACCCAACTAGCTTCTGCCGGCTCATGGGAAGCCAGTTCTTCTTTTTATGTTGTTGGCAACAATCCTCAGATGGGCCATCCACACCCACACCACACTAATTCAGTTCAGCTTGGGTGTTACAAGTTGACTACCAGTTGTCAGTTCAATACACCTGGCTTGATCCATCCTCGTAAGTGAGAAAGTAAACTAATTCCAAATCTATTTAGGGTATAAGTTATTTTAGAAGTATTTAAGATTAACAAAATTTTAAATTTCAGTATTTATATCCCAATTTACTCTGCAAATTACTTAAGACACATTACTGTAACCACTTATGGTAAATAATTTTATTATAGAAAGTGAAGACCGTTACACTTGAAATTTTGGAAAGAGCCGGGCGTGGTGGCGCGCACCTGTAGTCCCAGCTACTCGGGAGGCTGAGGTGGGAGGATCGCTTGAGTCCAGGAGTTCTGGGCTGCAGTGCGCTATGCCGATCGGGTGTCCGCACTAAGTTCGGCATCAATATGGTGACCTCCCGGGAGCGGGGGACCACCAGATTGCCTAAGGAGGGGTGAACCGGCCCAGGTCGGAAACGGAGCAGGTCAAAACTCCCGTGCTGATCAGTAGTGGGATCGCGCCTGTGAATAGCCACTGCACTCCAGCCTGGGCAATATAGTGAGACCCTGTCTCTATAAAAATAATTTTAAAAAATTAAAAAAAAAAAAAAGAAATTTTGGAAAGAAATCCACTAGTTTCAGTAAGATATTATCTTGGATGCCAGAGAAGGGGCGGAGGGGTCAGTCCTCAGGTTTCTCACTTCTGAAAATGGAGTTCTACTAAATTGAAGATGCCTCTTCTGTTCTGATTTGTTGTATTTAACTTTACCCTCTTTGAAATAAAAAATAAAAAAATTGAAGTGCCCCACTTACTTTCCTTAAACTACCACACTTAGCAAACTGGACTAGGTGAATAAATAAGGCAGCTTTCTGTAGAATGAGCTCCTGTGCTAATGAGTCAGGAGGCTGGACCTCTAGTCTTGATTTCTCCA